CCAATTCGATCGTTTTACTGAGGTACTAGACATGACTATGGTCTATGTGTACCTATCAACAAACCTAATTAAACATTTATAATATTTCCAATTTTGAAACTTTATTTGAGTGTATATATAAAATAATTGTAATGTTACATTTAGATCATTAGGTTGTATAAGGCAGGCATTGGAGTTCATTGGGTATAGATACTTATTAGCCACGGTGGGTGGATGAAAATTCGCGTCCGATCGCCTCGAAAAGTAAAGTATTAAAGACATCAAAAAAATAATAACGCTGGTTAAACTAGCATTAATTAAGAAACCAAATTTACTAGTTAACCAAAATCGTTCAATCAACACGACGAAAATACAAAAAAAAAAAAAAAAATGTACCTCTACGCAGCGTAGCCTGACCTACGGATGTGAATCATGCACCTTAGGAGAATGGGGAAATACTAGCAACTGCAAAAATGTGGTTTTAAAGGGGAATTAACTTCAGTGAACGCTTAAGGATCATGGCAGAGATGTGATAAATCTATTTTCTCGTTTGCTCATTCATAAAAACAGTTACTTATTCGTTGCTTTCCTGTGAGTTAAAATCATTAAAGAAGAAACGATCACCCGTTAAGCTCCACGAGCCAAACAGTAAATTTCTAAAGCAGACTTTACAGTTATTTAAATGTAGATACTGCCTAGCCATGGTGCCAATGTAAATATGTTATACTGATGCGAGTGGGAACTTACCGTCGTCCGGCGTCTCATGACCAATCGATGAAAATGCGCGTCCGATCGCCTCCAGGTGACTGCACAAAGCCATGCACGTGGAAACGAGTATGGTGTCGAACACGAACATAAAGTACAAAAACGCCACACACAAAAAGTTTTCGAGCACTTGGAAAAAAACGTAGTACTCGTTGTTGACGATCTCTGCGGATACCGGCATGTACAGGTTGACCACGTTTAGCCTGTACTCGCGGTAGGCGTTGTCTCTGCCCTTGATCCTCAACACGCTGTCCTCGAAGAAAGTCGACTGTGCCACCGTCCACAACGGCACCGAAAACAAACACACGCCGGCGTACAAGTAGGTGATGTTCGTGGATTTCGTCCGACACTTCCGGAGCGACTCGTCTGCCGCCGCGTCGAGTCCCGTGTAGTCCAACCGGGCGACGTCCAAGAATTTCCATATGCCGCTGGCGTTGCAGATGACGAAGATGATCTTGTAGCTGCCAAACGTTATGTTGGTCATTATCGCTATTTCTATGCACAGCTGATTGGTGTCGTTGATCCAATTGTAGATCCCCAGCGGAGTGGTGACCGTCGCGATCGATAGTATAAAGACGGCGACCGCGATGCACGTGACTTGAGCGGTGTTATATCCGAAAATCTTGGGGCCGTTCGGGTCTAGCAAATGGTATTGGCCCGTGTACACGGCCAGAGGAACGTTGAAAATGTAATTGGAACCTTGACTTTTGTCCAACATGATCTCGGGTATAAGGCGAACACTGAAATTCGGACGTGTAAATAATTGATATTATTACTGATTAACATTATAACTAATAGTCACTCGGTTAAATTTCCGTCACAGATTTTGTGCCCACGCAAATTTTAGTTTAACATATCCGTGCCAATGATACAATTTGTCCTTGGTGTAATATTTCCACCAAAGTAAGCCGTGTTGAAAGTCAACATCTTTTAAGTATACAGTCACCGCCGGAACGAGTAACTATTCCGACAATCGCTGCAGGCAGAAGCTTTACAACTTACAAAGTGTTTTAGCGGTTTTTTAAGGTAAAATTTTCCAAATTCTGGCCAAAAAAGGTTTACGAATTCATATTGTATGTGTGCTGTGATATGAACGAATCGGTCAGGTGATCAAAATCAAAAACATTTTGATTTGATTGTTATGATATAATTATACTGTAAACATTTAGTTGTACCATACAACACACGACTGAATGAAAAATTGAGTAAATAAAATAAGGACATTTTTATCAAATTAATAACGATAACAAAATAACGCCGAAAATGTAAGACTGACCCCTAGTCTAAAAACATACCCGTTTTATTGGATGATGAGTCCCTATCAGATTATAGCTTTCAATTGAATATCTTGTCAGAAGGTACCTACACATTATTTTCGATTCTAAAACCAATAAGTTTCCAGATCTATATCAAAGCTCAATCTAAGCATGTTATGTTGAATCAACAAAGCATTGTGGTCCCAGAATGTTATTCCAGTCAGCAGAGAAATAAAATATTTTCTTAATGTTTTAGTTTTTTACATTTTAAAAATATTTTATAATTATTTTTATCACCTGTGTTTTTTAAGGACAATATTTTCCAAACAGTAACGAAATACATAAAAAAAATCATACTTACAACTCAGGTTTTTGTGTATTGCGGTAATGGTAGTACAAAGAAATGATACATTATCCATACGACTATAGACTGTTAATGTGCTTAGAAGGTACGTCACATGCGACATACACAGTAGTTATTAAAAATGCTAATCTATTGTAGCATATTATTATAACCCTATAATAACGTTTACTTTTTACATTTCATTAACACGATAGGCCGAATTTTTGTTAAAAGATATTATTAAAGGAAAAAGTTTTTTTTTTGTGTGTGTTTGGACTCGCAGAAACTTTATTACCCATGGTAATAATAATCAAGTTGAAAAATACTATAATATGATATGTTTTATTGGCGCGGTCCAATAATAAATATCATTACCCTGATATTATTATTTAACTGGACTGGAAGTGCATAAACCTGTTAAAAAGGTAATCCCTTTGCAATATTAAAATAAAATACCTATTTTATTTCACTATGTACTGATTCAAATGCTGGTACCTAATAACAGTAAATTTTCTATTTGAAAAATTAGCTAATTTTGTTTTGAAAAAAAGTTCTATACATTTAAATAGTGTTTGTGATAGGGTTGCTGGTTTTTGCGGGGACTTGGGCCTTCCAGACCTCTCTAATTTATAAGGACGTCATAAAGGATGATGTAATATCAAATAAATGACTAAAAATAACTAGTTACCCTCATGTTATTATTATATTATTAATATTATTAATATTTTTCTGATTTAGTTTTAGTTCTAGGTAGTTTTATATACAGGCACACACAATTCACTGCTGTTATTTTGTGTCCAATTGTATAATTGGTAAAAACCATTTTTTTTTTGTAAGTTTCCTGGAAGGAAGTTTTCTTTAAATTTTCACGTCGAAATTCCAATCCTTGGTATAGCATATTATTATAATTTAATATTTATTTATGACATACAGCATAATAATTAGGCAGTAGTCATAATACTATTAGGTCGTGAACGCGAACCCATTTAAATACTGCCGTGTAATGCCGTGGAATGATCTTCTGTCTGAAGATGAGGTGGTGAACCTTATGCAGAACAGTCCGACTCGAGACAAAATAACAGATAGATATATATGTATAGGACGTCTTGTAGTTAAATAATTATTGTAACACATGGACTCGGATTTGGACGAACAAAACAACAACTGCAACATGGGTATAACTTCGCTCTTAGTAAGTTCATTAATCAGTCAAATTTAATAACCAATATAATTAGTTAAAGCGTACAAACTTGTTTTATTACCGAGGAAACTCATACGGTTTTCAATTAACTTTCATAACTTCAAAATTGGTTTGTAATGTTATGATGACAATTAAAATGGTTTAACCGACCAACGGTGAGCAGGTGTGAAGCTGTTTCTAGATTTTCTTCATTTTATCAGTTTGAATTTTTCAAGTATGTGAATACTACCGTTTTTCCCCTGTGCCCTTTTCAATTGTTATTTGTATGGTGGTTTTGATTTTTGTTTCGATTCGCTTTTTAAGCTAAGATATTATATTTTTAATTCTTAATTTAGTTCATAATTTATACATACATATATATCACTGTATTTATACCCCTATGGGGTGTCACATTTAATAATAATAATAATATAGAAATTGCCTATGCGAGACGCCGTTTTATTAAATAACTAAAATTTAATACACGCTAATTTTGTTTTTCATGGTCTTATTAGACCATCACCTTGGCGTGTAGAACTGTAAAATATCTCATTAAAATTAATAGAAATAGTTTCTTATGTAAAATAAAGAAATTTTTAAAAGGCTAGTAGTTTATGGTATTATGCAATCAGATTTTGTTTTTAAAATATATACTTTAAATCACTTACAAGTTATCTGTTCGTATTTTATCATTATTATTATTTTGTATACAATTTCCCCCCCCCCTCTTATTGATTCAACGACAAATGTTGTTATCTTATTAATTTGTCATTTTTGGGTTTTTAAATGGATAAATAACAAAATGTAACCAATAAATCAGTACCTAAATAATAATAAATGTTTAATACAAAAAGAACATAATATGTTAAATCATATTTAAAACACATAAATTGTTACAAAAAAAACACACACAAAAGTAAAAAAATAAATAAGTGTTCAAAACAAATAACTCGATTCAGGTAGAAAAGTATACTTAAAACTATAATAACAATTTACGGAAATGTACACAAAACAAAAAACAGTTTGACAATATGAAAAGGTTTCGAATAAATAATAAATAATGGCAGTTTTAATTTTTGATTATGTTACCTAACCGCAAGTGGGTAAAATTGAACGAAGAATAAAATAGGGTGGTTTTTACAACAATCGTAAGTAATTAAATTTTCAAACTAATTTCTACATTTATCAATGACGTGGGCAAAAATATGGGTGTGTGAAGATGTGAATTTTCCATTATCGACGCGTAAGGAATCGTACCGTGAAACGTAATTCTTGTTGTTGCAAGTTATTCCAAGTTTACCTAAGTTTAAAGGATGTATGATATCCTTGCAGCGGTAATAGCGGGCGGCGTTGTGACCGGCGCAGGGTTTCTTTACTACAATGTAAGTATCGACAGTCCAGTAAACCTACCCTAATTCCTCGGTGCTTCTTAAATAATAATAATAATTATAAATATAACCAGACGAAACGCGCCGCTATGTATGCCACAGAGTATGAAAGATTAAGTTTTAAACACGCGAGAGAAATTGAAAATTTAAATATCAAATGGGCACGAGTACATTCGAATAGCAATGAAGTGGTTAGAAAGCTGAAGGAAGGTATCGCAATAATAGAATCCAAGCACGATGACCAAGTAAAAAAATGTCAAAAGCTGCAGGAAGAAAAGGAAAAGCTAGAATCAAATTACGATGACCAAGTAAAAAAATGTCAAAAGCTGCAGGAAGAAAAGGAAAGACTAAAATCAAATTACGATGACCAAGTAAAAAAATGTCAAAAGCTGCAGGAAGAAAAGGAAAGACTAAAATCAAATTACGATGACCAAGTAAAAAAATGTCAAAAGCTGCAGGAAGAAAAGGAAAGACTAAAATCAAATTACGATGACCAAGTAAAAAAATGTCAAAAGCTGCAGGAAGAAAAGGAAAAACTAGAATCGAATTACGATGACCAAGTAAAAAAATGTCAAAAGCTGCAGGAAGAAAAGGAAAAACTAGAATCGAATTACGATGACCAAGTAAAAAAATGGCAAAAGCTGCAGGAAGAAAAGGAAAGACTAAAATCGAATTACGATGACCAAGTAAAAAAATGTCAAAAGCTGCAGGAAGAAAAGGAAAAACTAGAATCGAATTACGATGACCAAGTAAAAAAATGTCAAAAGCTGCAGGAAGAAAAGGAAAAACTAGAATCGAATTACGATGACCAAGTAAAAAAATGTCAAAAGCTGCAGGAAGAAAAGGAAAGACTAGAATCAAATTACGATGACCAAGTAAAAAAATGTCAAAAGCTGCAGGAAGAAAAGGAAAAACTAGAATCGAATTACGATGACCAAGTAAAAAAATGTCAAAAGCTGCAGGAAGAAAAGGAAAAGCTAGAATCAAATTACGATGACCAAGTAAAAAAATGTCAAAAGCTGCAGGAAGAAAAGGAAAGACTAAAATCAAATTACGATGACCAAGTAAAAAAATGTCAAAAGCTGCAAGAAGAAAAGGAAAAACTAGAATCGAATTACGATGACCAAGTAAAAAAATGTCAAAAGCTGCAGGAAGAAAAGGAAAAGCTAGAATCGAATTACGATGACCAAGTAAAAAAATGTCAAAAGCTGCAGGAAGAAAAGGAAAAGACTAGAATCAAATTACGATGACCAAGTAAAAAAATGTCAAAAGCTGCAGGAAGAAAAGGAAAAGCTAGAATCAAATTACGATGACCAAGTAAAAAAATGTCAAAAGCTGCAGGAAGAAAAGGAAAGACTAAAATCAAATTACGATGACCAAGTAAAAAAATGTCAAAAGCTGCAGGAAGAAAAGGAAAAACTAGAATCGAATTACGATGACCAAGTAAAAAAATGTCAAAAGCTGCAGGAAGAAAAGGAAAAGCTAGAATCAAATTACGATGACCAAGTAAAAAAATGTCAAAAGCTGCAGGAAGAAAAGGAAAAGCTAGAATCAAATTACGATGACCAAGTAAAAAAATGTCAAAAGCTGCAGGGAGAAAAGGAAAAGCTAGAATCGGCACACTTTGGTGAGATGGAGAGAATGAAAAATGAGATGAATGATTTGAAGTTTAAATTAGGGAAGAAAACCCACCGTTTGAACCTTGCGAACAAAGTTGCACACAGACCCGGGCCACACGTTATTTGCAGCAATCGGCACGACCGCGCGGAAATAGCCTTCGTGGCACAACTTGGGCACGTCCTGGATTCGGCCACAGTCGCCGGCGGTGTTCAACGCCTCGTACGTGGCAACCTGTCTGAGATCGTCGCGAGAACAGACCTCGATATTTCCATAGTCCACGAACCGGACGGTGTAGTCACCGGTCAGGTGGTCTGCGCTCAAAACCGTTGCGCGATACCACGAGTCGTCTGCGTGGTATTTGGCCAATACCGTTTGACCGTCGGCCCACGTGTAATCTATCGGTTCGGGCACGGTCTCGGCCAACAGTCGGTCCAAGTCGGCCGACAACTTGAACAAAATTCGCGGGGCGTCGCTGTGCGCGTCGTAAAGGTATATCACACACCGGTTGTCCACGTGCGTGACGCGTGCTTCGATTAAATCCTTACACAACTATTTGGCGGGCAGCCAATCTTGGACCGCAGTACAATGCGACTGTCTTCGGTCGTACGGCGACGGTGACCTAACGAGATCTGGCCTGTATTCGATGCTATCCAACTGTTCTAGCCCGTCGTCGTCCGTACATTCGGCCAATAACGCGCAACCCGTCGACCCGAGTTTGTGGTTGATGTTGAACGCTTCGTCTCGCGCACTTTTTACCATTGTCACGCTGAGCACACCGTCTTTGTTCACGGCGTGCAAGTACACGTCCAGACTTTCGGCGTTGGAGTAATCGACTGCGGCCATATCTGCTAGGGCGGCGTTCGCTTCCGGTGACCATTCGTTACACTGTTTTCCGTTGTGCGCCGGCACTAGTCCCCTCAACCGAGCTCTAAACGCTTGTGCCGGTATTTCGATGAGCCTCGAATCGAGCATCCGCAGCTGATGCCACGACAGCGTTTCCACGACACGGTGTGGCCAAGTATAACGTCGTTATACATGCGGTTTTTTTCTAAAGGCGAGGCCCTAGGCAACGTCGTCGATTTCATTATCTCTTTTTCCACACGATCGTTTCGGTAGCAACCGTCGGACGAGGCGTGACCGAAGAAGCACGATGCGCTTCTAATGGACATCGGGTGTACTGGTCATGCCAAACCACGTCGACTTCCACGTGATCTCCCCTGGCCACGACGGGATATAAGTAAAACGTGCCGGACCGGGCAAACTTCAATGTACAAAATAGACGGTACGCTTCGTCGGACCACCCCTCGGTTTGGTCTTTTGGCTTTGCATCCTCATGTCGGATACCCACGAGATACCGGTTCGCTCACTCTTCGGTTCTGAAAGAAAATTCACATTGATTTTATTTAACACTTGGAGTGCATGTTGGCAATTTGTTTTTATTTGTCCATTTAGATTGTAACATTCTTAGAAAAGGTCAAATTCACTTTGTATTAATAGGTCAGTTGTCAACTGTAGCCATGGGAACCTCAAAACTTTAGATTAATATATATTTTATTTTGTGCGTTTCATAATATTTATGTTCTGATATTTGATTACTAATAATGAAATTTTAAAAAAATCCATTATTATACACAAGTTACCTGGTTCATATGCGCCCAATATTTTCACAGAGGCCCCTATGTCTTGGGCATTGTCATTGTCATATTTCTTTTCCATCATATCAAAATCCGAGTTTCCAGTTTCCGTTAAAGTCTTATAAAAGGTCTGTTTTGGCAGTAAAAGATAAATTACTTAAACATAAATACTTTTGTATTGATTTTTATTATAGATATTTCCCCCAAAAAAAAAAATCGTTATATACAATAATATTACTAAAACGTGAAATACTTCCAAACACATTAAAAGGTTTTTAAATTTTTGTAAGATTACTATAATATACCTCGCTATAAACAGTTTTTATGCTTTATGTAGTAGCATAAATTAATATTTTTAAACAATGTTAAATAGGTTTGTATACTAACTAAATAATAATAATAAATAATTTAAACATACGTCCATTGTTGTCGAAAAAATAGTTTTTTTTACAGCGTAAAACAGCCGCTGTTTCCAAAAATTTTGTCAAAACACAAAACACAATGTTCTTCTTGATCGCTGTTATGGCGAATTGGCATTAGCCAAAATTCAGAAAAAAAACACTAGATATAACTGAATTTTTATAAGAAGAAAATTGGGTCCACTTGACATCAAGAGCTTACTTTATGTAATGAGTATGTACATAGTTGTTTGTTTATCACCTTAGCAATTTTCCATTTATCCGTTGCTAACCACATCACCAGTCGTGTGTTATATCCAAACTATTATTATATTATTGTTATTATTGCAATTATTTTTAGCCAACAATAAAACAACATATTTTTTCACAAAAAAAAATACATAATTAATTCAAATAAAATAAATATACTTCTTACAATATTACCTTTGAAATTTTTTTTTTATATTTCTGATTTTTTAAATTTATACAGGGCTGTCTAATTAACATAAGACTCGTATTTTTTTTTTTTAATCTTTATTGCGATATTATAAATTTTTCAATCGATCAGTCATAAAATGTCCAATAATTATTATATGAACTTGTAAACTTATCTCATTTATTAAATTAAAAAATATCTTTAGAGACAATTTTTTTATCGAAGACAACTCGATTAATTTAATATGACACAATTTATTGTGCCATGCTCCACATGGCTAGATTTTTCAAAATAATACTTTTTAACAATACCGTCTCTGTAAGATTTTAAACATTTTAATTGTTACACATTAGATAGAAATTAAAATGCAAGGTTTTTAGCATGATGGAGTCAGTAATTGTAAAATACAACTTTTTCCTCCCCTCCAAATTTAAGCATTTCCCCTCCCCCCAACATTTAATAGGAGAACACTGTGCGGAATCGAAATCTCGAACAAATCACTTCGCTGAAGCTACAGGCGTCTGTGACCGTCAACCGTTTATGCATGTTGAGCATATACGTGCCTAATTTGGTGCAACTCGATCTGACCGACAGTTTCCTGCCGTCATTAAGGTAGGTAGGGTAACTAATTGATTAGTCAGTCTTACTTATTAGTAATTTAAGTCATTTTAATAAAAAATTATTTTTAAAAAAATCAACACATACCGAAGAAAAATGACCATTCGATATTTTAGCTTATAGAGATTTCGCGTTCAAGTTGGACAATCTGAAAATACCAACGATGACCTCGTGCGGTCTACGGTCGCTGGACGGAATCTGGAACGTACAAGAACTATACGCCAACGACGTAAGCAACATAACGTTGTGCTCGACACTGACAGATCTAACCGTTCTGGACTTTGCCCGGTGAGTAAACAACAGCTTAACAAACCCTAAAAATATTGTCATAACATCAGTATAAATTTAAAAACAATTATTATATTTTTTGTAAAATAATAACTATTTGAATCGTACAATGATAGGAAAAAACTGGTTTTAGTATTAAAAATAAAACAATAACAATGTATGTAAAAGTACTAATTACGTTATTTATTTATTTTAAATTCAATAGAAACAAAATTATGAACTTGTCAAAACTGCATTTTTTGAACTTCTGCGAACGGTTACGATGCCTGATCCAGTTTAAAGGCCGTTTAAAATTACTAAACAAACTTATGGATATTTAGTTACAGTAATTCTGATAATTTTAATTAGAATGTACTACAAAATTAAAAAACCGACTACTGATCGACTCGATTATGTGTGGTAACATAACTGCTGTGTTAAGAAGTAAAAAAAATACCAATCAAATGATGAAAAAGGTTAAGTAGACAATACACAAATAATATAATATATAAATAATCCTGTAGACATAAATTAACAATTAAGCATTTTAACTTTTAATAAATAACTACACAAGTGATTGTTAATATTGAAAAAACTTATTATAAACGACATTTGTGCATAAATTATGTTATTCGTGCCAGTTTTTCATAAATTTATAAACCATAAAAAAAAACACTTGAAGCTAATAAAAAAATGAATTTTGTGTTGCAGGGTACAGAAAGTTCAGAAAAAAGTATTGAATAAGACAATATATTATTATAAAATACAACTAAGTCACTAGAAGTATGATAAGAAAAAAAAAATGACAACTTGCTTAATAGTTAAAATAAACTACACATTAATTTAATTATTTCTATTGAATTTTATCAACATCTTAAAAATTCTCAGTCTTTTACGTTAGGTAATTAATAATTACTCCTTTATGATATTTAACACATTTGCTTCTATCGGTAGAGCCGACGGTCCCAGTTCAAGAAGGTTCTCAAATAATAATTCAACTGAGACCGCTGGTAGCTAATGTGTTAACATTATACTTAAATGTACTTAGAAAACTATACTGTTGTAAGTTAGGTACTATTTGAAAATCATATATCAAACTCTTCAGCGCCATCGTCGTTGTTATCTGGGTCTGGTTCATCGAAATCGGTCATACGCACGTCCTGGTCTTCACCAAATTGAATCATATTGTTAATAGTGAGTTGTAAATCTGCAATACTATTTTCATCCTTTATATTTAACGGAACAAATCGGACGAGACTGTAATCTTCAATCATCTGGCCGATTCGTTTTGACAAATATCGATATTTCTTTCCCCATGCCGTGTTGGTTTTCACTTCAGAAAGCAACGCACGAGGATCAGGCTCTAAATAACTAAAAAATATTAAAGACTTATAATTAAATCCTAGATCAAAATATGTCTCTTAATTTAAAAATATGAATATTTTTACTAAAACCATTTCATAGATTATTGTAGCCGAATATAAATATAGCGAAACATAAATAGCAGCATTTAATGTCGCAAAATATGTGAAAATTATTTTAAAACTTTTTTATGCGAACCAAACATTTATGAAGTATAGTTTGAGCTGAACCGTTCTAATAATTATTTTTTTATTTTTACCAGACTGGACTAGTAAGTTAGGATCTGTACCTCGATGTCAAGTTTCACTGGCAATATTAAAAATGTTTCACGACCAATTATTACCCATTAAAAAAATACAAACTTAATTACTTGTCTAAATGTTTTCTAGCAGTTTTACTGAGTAGATCCATTTTTGACAGAACATTAATGTGCGGCAATTCTAAATTGATCATAACAGATAGAGCAGCCATTGTACCTATAATAAAATGTATTGCATTTTGGAAGTAGAAATTGAGAAAATGGCTTGGTTTTACATACATATATTTTAATATTAAATGTTTTACTACCAGAAATAAACTTGGGTCCGTCAACCATAAATTGAGAATCCACTAACATAACAGAACAAACATTAAATCCCCAGTTTTGTAACAATTCTGCTAAATGTTTTATCGTTTTCATATGTGTATACAGTTCTATTTGTCCGGGTAAATCAAAAATAACATAGTCATCGTCATCATCGCCGAGCTGTTCTTTTAGCCAATCCGAGTTCTCCATCAAATACCTATAAAAACAAAGTGTTTCATATAAAAAATATATTAGTAAAATTCAACCATCCTACAAACAAGGTGTCATCAATTTATCCGTGATCGTTTTTCAGTACCATAACGACTCCAACACATACAGAAAATTGTAAAAGTATAAAATTAAAAACTAACATAAATTCATCTGAAAATAAGTTGACACAGTCTAAATGTATTAAAATGATTTGGCTGTCAAGTATTGCCTATATTTGGCCACTTAATCGTTTCAGGACAGCCGATGTATATATTTTACATTTGTTGTCCTGCCGTTGATATGAGCTGCAAAAATAACTTACTCCATGCAAAATACCAAACCTCCATTAGGACCATAATGGAGTAATTCATCCTCCATAGCATCATCGATATGTATCAACTCACGTATGTCTACAGTTGGACTGTAATCAAACCGTTCAGCAGCTGGATCCAAATTCACGACAGTCACGGGATTTTTTTCATTTTCAAAATGTTGTACCACAGCTGAACAATATGTAGACTGAAACAAACATACAGCGGTTACTAATATCGCTTTAAGACGTACTTTGTAAAGATATATTTTAGAACTATGCATAAATAATTCAATTCAAATCTCAAATATTAAAACATCTTAACAAAAATTACACGACAACTCACTAGCGACGTTTCAAATAACATAAATCAATTTTTAAAATGTAAATACTTAGGCGTATAAAATTGTGGAATGATCTAGCCATATAACAGTAATAGGTACTTTAATGTTAACAAAAAGTTTTCAACTAAACACCATGATTATCAAGGGAGACTCATTCATAATATTATACAGTACATAGTCAAACAGGCATGTTTTCTAGATAATACTACGCAGGAAAATTCAACCTGAAAAGTGTATTACGTTTTATATAGTCATGCAGTTATTACCTTTCCACTGCCCGCGGGTCCCATGACTAACTGAGCGTATCTCATTTTAATTAGGTAATTATATGTTAAGTTAAATTTGAATTCAAATGTTATGTTACACCAACTATGGACACAAGCTTCGGGTTCCTAAGCCTCAAGAAAACTTTGGTAGCTAACAAATCCTTGAAAAATCACAAAACACTAGAAAGCAGAAGGCACCAGTTGTCGTGCATAAATAATAATAAAAGAATATGATTTCTTTTAAAAATTAAAATATCCAATTTCTTCTAAAATTCTTTTATTATCAATGGTGAATGGTGTGCCATGCTGCATGCTTTTTATTATCGCTTATCAGTTACTACTACGATTTTCGCATTATGATAACCACTGACCACTGTTTATGTCGTTAACCAAAATAACCATAGTCTATATAGTAATTAGTAAAAGATATTGTCGGATATCGTTGATTTTTTAACTTGAAATTGAATTTTATTTATTTATATTTGAGACTACTCAACCCGCGATTATATTAATTATTATATAATTGATGTTTTTAAAAATACACAGTTTTACTTATATGTACAGAATTAAGCAACCGAAGTTAATTTGTATTAATTATAATGAAGTATAATAGAATTACTGTTGTTATTATTGCAAGCTATGTGTCACGTTTGCCCTACCCTTTCTAAAAAAAAATGGGGAAAAGAGTGACAGTACGACATCTAGTGGGGAGGAAGGGTATTTGCAACAACTTTTGCAACAAACAAATTTTAATTTTAAAATTTGTATAGAAAATTAATCATCTGTACACAATTAAATACAATTATAAATCAGTATAAAATAACACAATATGTAAAATTGTTATTATCAAGTACTAGACGTGATGGATTGTTTAAGGGATTAATCAGTAAATGTAATGTTATATTGGGATTTCATTTAAACAGACAAGATCTGAAAAAGCACAAGAGGCCAGGAATAAGGACTATACAAATATTCGAAAACACCATACACGGAAAGACTGTAGAAAACACACCAATGAAGATCTCTTAAATATTATGTTACTAGTTCATTTACAGCTGAGAACTTCCTCTACAAAATGCATATATTGGGTATAGGGTAAAATTGAGTAAATTTCAACTGGTCTTTGAAAAAAAAACGTTCGATTTTATTTATGATTCATAACCGTTCGGGACTTAAATTAAAAAAAATATATGTATATTTTTATTTTATAACCTTTATACGTTACTTAACAATCAAGCATTTTTATTTTTTTTATTTTATATATTTCAATAGTCAAAAAAAAATTAATGAATTATCGGCCTTTTTTATTTTCAAAATAACAGAAAAAACAATAATATGTGTTTAGTTCACTAGGCCTATAACTCCAGTTCAAAAAAATGTTTAATAAGTTGAAATTTTATATTTACACTAGTAATCATATACTTATGAGATCCTAAAAAAAAAAAATTATTGAACATTATTAATAGCCTATTTTTACCACCTAAATTTCATTCTCAGACCACTGTGCGGCAGGCTGAAGCCATAACGGAAATCTGTTATCATAAATTGCCGACTCGAAAATTGCTAACTTCAAGCACTTCAATAAACAAGCAGGCATGTGTATTCAGAGTTCAGATCGCAAAAACGTTAAATTAAATAGTAAATACACTTGTGTTCATTTTAATAATAGTTTTACAAAAAAAACAATTATGTCTGGCTTTAATTTAAGTGCCGCCACTACTGCACCGGCCAACACATCTAATACAGCGACGTAAGTTCTTCATAATATTATCTTAAATAACTAAATAGCTCCTAAGTAATTTTGTTGATATTAAAATTACATCAATTCGTTAGTATGAGATTTAATTGGCGTAATTTTAAGCTAAAATCATAATACCCGTTTAATAATTTTTGAAGATATTGGAAATGTCTGATCCACCGAGTTTATTTCAAATTGATTAGCCAATTGGTCAAATAGCGGCCACTCCAAAATTAGGTTACTGTTTCGTTATACTCAAACTAAAAGTTATGATTTTGTATGAACAATTACGCTGTCAAATATTACGAAAAAAAATACTTAAACTGTACATGTATTAATTTATTTTTACGTGTAATGTTGAATGTGCAGTCCTCAATTCGGATTTGGTTCATCGCTTGGAACGTCATGGCCCGCAGCAAGTTCAGCTCCTGCTCCTACTAACTTTGGTAATGAAAATTAATAATATAATTTTCCAAAAAAAAAACTACATTTTGGTATATTACGCATAGGAAAATATTTGTATATTCTAAGCACTAGTCACATATCATTCATTGCTGTATAAATTAGGACTGTGAGATTTGTTCTGAGGTATCAAATTAATATAAATTAGTTGACGTGTAACTTTAATTAATATTTTTGAGATAAGAAAAATCTATTAGTATACATTTACCTATTTCGAAGTTTTCATCATGTTTAAACGAAAGAAACGCGTCTAGAGCTGCCGATGTAGTTTGGGTTTTTATTAACACAAAATTTAAACTATATATTAAACTTATATATTAATTTTTTTTAGGTGCTTCTGCAGCACCGTCGCCATTTGGTGCGGCAGCTACTTCAACTTCATCATTGTCTTTTGGCGGAACTAGTGTTGCAACACAACCGTTAACTTTTGGAGTGACTACTACTACACTGGCATCTTCTGCCACTAAACCAGGTGATTTAAGACTTATTGTCGTGTTCTCGACTGAATCACACAAAGATTAATCGATCTAGTCTCGATTAGATTTACAATATTGTCTCAAGTATAATATAATTGATTGTGTTTGTATTGTTTAGGGTTTTCACTTGGTACCAATACAACATCAAATGCTCCGTTGAATCTGTCATTTGGATCAAACGCCGCTGCTTCGACTTCTTCGTTCTCTCTTGGAACTTCATTAAACACCAAAACTACAGCGGCACCTACAACAGGCACACAGTTTACATTGGGAGCTTCTACCTCGGTAGCAACAACCTCTGCCGCTCCTGGTACATTTGTTTAAATTTTTAAAATGAAAATTCACAAGAAATCTTACTGATTGTGCCTAAAAGTAATTTATAGTTATTGATCATACTTTACAGTGTCTCGAGGTTTGGGCGGTCTAGATACTACATCAAATTTAAGCCAAGGTAGACATTTTTAAGTTTTTTTTCAAGCAATTAACTGGTACATGGCTAATAGTTGAATGTTTTTATCTAGCCAAAAACAAAGATGTATCTGCTCTCGAAATGACAGTGCCCAATGAAATCTTACAGCTGGTTAATCATTTGAAGTAAGTTTTATGTTATGATATTTTGATTTTGCTACCTATAGAGTACATGTGTCATGCCGAGCAAAATAAACAACAAATAAAGTTTATGAGCTTTTGATGAAGTATTTTTTTACTTACCGACCAATTATATGTTACCAATTATATTGATAAGAATATGATTTAACAATGTGTCAAATGCTGTTTAGAGTAAATAATTTTTTATTTGATTACAACATTTTTGTCTAATAATCGTGGATATTGTTTTACCACTGTGATGGTACATTATTCACTGACAATTAAAAGGCAGAATATGCTAAAAAAAACTTTCATTCTAAAGATCCAATTGAAGAATTTTTGCACTTTAATTAGTACCGTTATAATAAATATATATTTTTTATGAAATAATGATGTATATACATTTTATGTTCATTGTTTCAATAGAGATTTTCTTAAACAACAAAAAACAATGAGTACTGAACTCGCTCGTATGTCGTCAAAAGGTTCGAGTGAAGTAGCTGATGACATAACGACTTGTCAAAAAAATTTGCAATTCATTGAACACAACTTGGACAAACAAAAACGCTCTGTTGAAAAGTTGAGGTTTGAAACCAACAAGGTTTGTAAGACAACTTTCTGTATACAAACGTACCTGTCATATTTACAATACATATAATTGTACACATAGTGTTTGCAAGATTTTGAAATCGCACAAAGAAACCACGACCACCCCGCAATGGTGCAAAATGATATGGAATCCAATATAAAATACTTCTCTGAGCTTATTAAGTCATTACAAGAAAAAGGAAATATATTAAAAAATGAAATAGAGAACACTCAACAATATTTAGCTACGCTGCCGTACAACAACAATGTTACTGTTGATGGTAAGAATAAAATTATTTTTCTTTTCGATTTACTTATCTTGAAATTAATGTTGCAAAATAAGACTACTGCTGTGTTGCTGTTGCTATGAATTGCCATTTCAAAACAAAAGTTTACCCAAAGTGCCATAAAATATAATTTTTTTTTTTTTACATTATAGAATTAAGAAGAATTGGAGAAATGTATTATAAAAATGTGATTGCGTTGGCCGGTCATCTTCATTCCATACACAATGAAGTACAAGTGTTAAAAGCAAGGCATTTGTCATTCCGCAGAGAAATTTTAAACGACCATACAAATATTTTCCTAACAAATGAAAATCCAAATCCATCTAGTTTGTTTACATCTCATCCCGATACTGCTGGGCCTAATCCTTTTTCGGGATTAAGTGAGTTATAATATTAAGTATATTACTATTATCATTATTTTTAATATTTGTGTTGATTTATTTTCGGATAAATAATGTTTTTAATTTGTATATTCTAGGCATTACAGCATCGGCAGCCCTGAATTTAGGAACATTTGGATTGGATCAATCTAGACTCTAGTACATGTCAAGTCCAAGGCATATCTAAAAATATGTTTAAAAATCAATTTAGTTGCTTAAAAATAAGAAATTTTGATATTAAAATAAAACTGTTTTTTTTTTTTATGATATTTATATAATGAAAAATATTTATTACTACAACTAATTATTTTTACAAAAATGTATCTCGTATGTGGTGTTTGTAATTAAACATATCTTGTTAAGATTTTATTTATGATACATTTTTCTTATGCAAGTCAAAAAGTGTATTCTACAACATTGTTTATAAAAATATACTAAAATAATCGAGATCAGTGTACTCTTGCTAAAAACAATTGAATATTAACAATTTTTAAATCCTTTAGAAAAGGTCGGTTGTACGTTTTGTTTTCATTAAAATGCAAGTATATCAAAAAATTATAAAAAAAATGTTTAAGAGTTTATGGCCGTCATAAGACAGTTATCTGGTCGTGTGTACACAGCCCCTAACTGAATTTCCAAAAATGGCATTTTTATAGCATTTACAAGCTATAATTTTAACTAAAAGTCTACTAATTATAACTAAATTTTTTTCTTTAGTCAATTATAAATATGTACTACATTAATAATTATTATTTAAATTTAGTATAATTTTATAAAAGAACACAGAATCGTAAATTCCCATCTCATAAATTACATCTAAACTTAGTCATGTAAGAATCGAATTATTTCGTTCTCTGTGCTGCATAATATGAGTAAATTTACATTTGCTCTATTTTTGGTTATAATTTATTTTAACTATTGAAACTCGTAGAAATGGAAAAGAAGGTAGGTATGTTCTTTACATTTATATGATTTTGTATTATTTTACTAGCTAATTACTTGAGTTGTCAAACACCAATGCTCAAGTAAGACTCTCCTTAAACAAATAAAAATAAAAAATTGTCCGCATCTTTCCGCCATTTTGTTTTATGTTATTTCAAAGTCGAAAAATTAAAGTAGACGTCCAAAAATTTGGAAAATAGTTAATATCTAGTAAAAGTGGAAAACCTATTGTAATACATTTCTAAATATTTAAAGTTGACATAAATGTAGCCTTTGACATACTACAATATCTTGTAATAATATTGGGACTTGGACATCCAGGTCCGCCCTACAAAGGGTCGTTTCACTAAAATGTCATGTTTTTTCAATTCTTCCAAAATTAATTTAGTAATCTATTCAACAAATATTAAAGTACCTTTAACAGGACTAAAAAGTAAAAAATAAATAAAAAACTTTTTTGAAACATGCTTTTCTTTAGAATTTTATAGAAAAACATGTTTTTAAAAAAGTTTTTTTTAGTATTTTTTTATTTAGTGTCTAGGTGTGAAAAAATTAAAAAGCATCTCGCCCCTGCGTAGGTACTTGGTCAGCTAGTATTTTTTTTATATTTTAGAGTCGCCACTAGCCTCTGACAGGTAAAAAAATTACTAAACCGTAGGTTTTGAAACGAATTTAACTTAAAAAACAAAAAAACACACACATTCAGGGCCGTATTTAGGGGGGGGAGGCAACAACGGGCTCTTGCCCCAGGCGGCTGATTAGGAAATAATCTGATTATTTGAAAATTAATATAATTTTTGAAATCAGCGACCCTGAAAACATATAAACAATGTGTAAAATAATTGTTTTTACAATATTAAAAAAAAAACACCTATTCCTTTACTAATTCTTTGAATTTGAAAGTAATTAAAAAAATATATTATCAAACTCGGATTTGGCGACCTAAATATATCTCTTTTGACCTATCTTATTGTTTTCTAATAAAATACAACTAAATAACGGCAGGTGAATTGGGAGTATTTCAAAATACTGTTTTAAAATGTGTATCCGCACAGTCTACAAATTATAATTATATTCAGTGTAGGAGCTGAGGGCGGGTCACTGACTTATTATGTTAGCCGTTAGGGATGTTTATATACCACCAGAGGTCGGCCATTTAGGTGTTTTCCATGCGCCAATGCCTTTGAAGGCCGAAACCCGGTACGGTCAGATTAAATCATAGAGTAATATTATAAATTATAATGAATGTTTAGTTTTTTGTAGTACGTTTTATACGTACCGATTTAATATTTTGTTTGTATCTTCAATGGTATCCTGTGCTTATCATTCGATTGCAGTGAACAGCCAGTAGAAAATCGAATACACCCATCTTAGGGGGAGGGAAATACAGAGTAATAATATTTTAGGTTATACCGCGAATTTTTCCGTTGTTTTTTTACTTTTGTTATTATTTTCCATTTCTTATCGAGTAGGTAGTGAATTTTTTTTTTTTTTTTTTACCAATCGGCAATCATAATAAAAACAATAGTAAATCTCCTCGGCGGGGCTGTGATATCTGTGAATTTTCGGTTTAAACAAAAAGTTCAACTCAAATCGTTGACCAGCGCGGAGCTCCTATCTCGTATTTCAGTCAGTACATAAAAATAACATAATAATACTTGTACACCGAATATAGACGGACGACCGGAGAAAACTGCTGCAATTCTTGTCTGATGAACAATGCTGTTGCTGAACATCATTCATAGAAACAAAGACGAATGCTTCTTGCTGATATTGGCGTTACTACTTTACTACGTGATGATATTCCTAGAAGAAGCTGAGAAACTACGTTGAAATCGAGACGCATGCAAGTATTATCCCTACACTCAGTTTCACCTAGTATTCACCAGCACACAAAAGGGTGGCCAGTGTCAGTCAACTAACCCTTTTTCCAAATTTCTATATCTTTGGTTCGATTTTCACTAAAGTAAAAACAATAACCTTAAAGTATGGGTCGACGGCCTTCATAAATAATATGAATGTACGCTAGTGGACTCGATTGGTTTGTCCAGGTGCGTCTCTAGGATTTGTAGGACCCGTAATTCAAATAAACAAGATGATCCATTGTCATGGGGTCTGGGTTAATTATTTGAGTACATCTGGCAAACGAGGAAACATTTGATAAAAAAACTCAACTAGGGCAAACAGTACCCGGACCCGAAAAATTACTCTAACAATGTACTGGACACTTTTTTTTGCTACTTTAAAAGGTTTTTTTTACCCACTCCGATTTTTTTTTGATTGTGAAATTATCACAGCACACATGCCTTCTGCTTAGTATATGTGCTTGAGTTTAATTACTCGGGGAAACTGGCTTATTGTTTTTTTCATCAAGTCAAAGGCTTATAATAATTTACAATCTTATATTTTTCTTAGCACTGAATAGAGAAGCTCGTTAATGTCATAATGTTTGTCGACGACTTAGTGAAAGGATTTTATGAAGTCATTTTAAAAAATGTAAGTATAGTATGTTATTCAAGAAATAAAAACAAAACATGTTGTCAGGAGTTAGAAATATTGCATTAATAATCACTTTGAATTTAGAGAGTATTGATTCTGGTAAATTATGATGTGGATGCAATTTGTGCCGTGAAAATTCTTCAAAGCATTTTACGTTTCGACAACATAATTTATGTACTTGTGCCAGTAAAGACGTTAACAGAATTGAAGAAAGCTTACGAAGAGCAAAAAGTTGATGTAAGAATCGTTGAAATTTTCATGACCTTGTCGTTAATTATCGATTATATTTAAAAATTATATAGGTTAGACATGTAGTTTTAATAAATTGTGGAGGTACAACAGATATTATTGAAGAACTGGAGCCAGATGAAGATATAATTTTTTTCATTATCGACAGTCATAGACCTACTGACGTTTGCAATATATACAGTAGCTCTCAGGTATGACTAGTGTGTTACATTAAAAATTTAATAAATATATTCAAATATTAGAGTGATATTTAGGTTAGAATACTAGCGCCTCCAGAAGATGATGAAAAAATTCCAGATTTTGAAGATATTTTCAACGAAAATGAAGTAAAATATATTTTTATACCCAAGATTCAAAATTTGTTACTACTTATTACTAATTTTCTATGGTTTATTTGAAAGATAGTAATTCATCTTCTCTATTAGATCAAACTTAATCTAATTTCATAAATTATTTCTCATAGTCGTCAAATGAAGAGCTGGATTCTGACGATGTAGATGACGACGACGAAAATGACACTGTCGAAGAACAACAGAATAAAAGAAGAAAACTAGATCAAAATGCATTAGTTAAAAGAAGAGAACGTCGAAGCTGGGAAGAAAATAGAAAAAAATTATTATTTGATTATACCCAATTTACGTATTATGGACGATCGGTAACAAGTGTATATGGCTTTATGCAATTACTAAAAAGAGGAAATAGAAATAAATTTACATTATGTTGTTTTCAGAGTGCCATTTTAATGTTTGATCTATCATGGAAATTGCACAGGGAATCTATCGATTTGTTATGGTTCGTAATTGACGTTTTACCATAATTGTTCTAGTATTTGTTTTGTAAATTTAAATATTATATTTACATTAAACTCCACGATCAAATATTAAAACGCTCAAAAACTACTATAAATTAATGTTTCACATCTTAATTATTTTTTATGTTTAGGTGGGGCATTGTGGGTGTAACTGAGCAATACATTTTAGGTAAAACTGAACGCATGCGTTATTTAAAAGAAGTTGAATTAATCGCCGGTCATATTGGTCGTATTAGTGAAACTGCTGGTAATAATGATGATTCTGAAACTATGTCACAAACGTCATTAACCAAACCTTCAAATACTTCAATACAGCTTCGAATAGAATCTGAAAAAGAGTAAGAATACGTATAAATACTTGCAAATACAAATTAGTTTAAAACTAATCCTCAAATGGGCCAATTAAGTTATAGTACAAATTTATAACATTTTAAGTACTATACAAATTAATTTTTTCTTACTTTTTTTTAACATAGACCATTTCAAATGTTTTTATAATTCATAAAAGTATCCAATACTACAAGTATAAAATAAATTATGATTATAATAAATAATAAATTTAACTTGCTTGTATTATAAATATATTTTAATTTTTAAACAAAATTTTAAACAGTAAAATTTAGTTGGCAATTGCCTGGATCTTTACAAAAAAACTTGACTCAATTTAGATTTTTATTAGTATGGTTAAACCCAATAAAACTCATCGAAGTACCAATTAGATGTGTCTCAAATGATAGGAGTAGTAGCAAGAGTAAAATTCTAAGTTGTATTCCAACTTTTTGGCGCTGTTGTTTTATGTTAAACTTAAAAAACAATATACTTAAATATACAAATGTTTATATAATATAAATTATTTTGTTACATCATTTACAATCGCAATGTACTGCGATATTTACATGCAATATAAAATAGATTTATAAATTTAATAGTGATCCAAATATTTTATTTTTAGTTTATTATTAGCCTTGTACAGACATTGGACTATTGAATCTAGCCTTCGGTACTCAATGTTTACAGCAGTCTCGTTGAAACTTTGGACAATCAAAGGTGAAAAAAGACTGAAACAAATATTAGCAGAAATGGGGTATACATATTTTTTTACATTAATTCAAATTGTTTAATTCGATTATTCTACAAACAGTATAATAAATCTTTTTTTATACTAGATTGCCGTTGGCTGAGAGTCGGCAAATGTACCATTCGATGGATTTAAGTCTACGTAAACAATTTTACAGTATGATGGAAAAAATATCTAACGCCCATAATTTATTGCAAATGACGTATCCGTCATTTATGTTACATCAAGGATTTAAAAAGAGATACCAGTGTGCCGACTATGTCTACGCGATGGTCGCTACACTTGAGAGTAATGTAAGTAATTTAAACTGTTCAATTTTTGTTTAATTGTTAGTATTAACAATTATATTAAAGTAAGTAAACTACATAATTGGATCAATTAGTCAGTTTTATAAGCTTGTTTTATATTTTTTTTATTATAAATATTTTATATTATTTTAGTCACGTGATAAATCATCTACCGAATGTTTTTATAACACTATGGATTCATTATCAAGGTAATTATTTATGGTCAAAATTGGAATAAACATATTAATAATTATTTTATAAATGTTTTTCTTTAATTAGATCCAAGAAGGATTTATTAGACCAAGGAATTGAAAAGGCCAAATGGATATTGACCAATATGTTTAGACATGTCCAAGCTGCATTAGATATGAGACAGGTTATTTCAGCAGGACCGTTCTACTATTTAATCGTGCAAGAAGTAAGATTTTAGTTAATTTTCTTTAGATAATCATTAAATTTTCCTTAAAAAAATATTTTTAAGAAGTGCTCATGTTTTAAATGTTACTACCAGTTATGCGATAAGCAATTAAAAATATATTAGGGTGTACCAAAAAAAAATTGTTTTGTTTTTTTTTGTTCTTCTCTTGACATTATGTTCTTGAGGTAAAATAATATTTCCCTATTTTTTTTAGATTTTTAAAATTATTTTTAGAGGCTGCGAGCATCAGTTTTCCAATAAAATTTTTTTTTTTTAGTTTTTAATTTTTTTTAAGTATAAATATAAATTTTAAACAAATGTTGCTTGTATACAAAATCATCATTAGAAAAAGAGGAATAAACCAATATTTTTTTTTTTTTACAAAAAAAACTACCATCCAACTAATTTAGGCCTTAGAATGTAAAATTTGCGAAAACATTAATATATATAATAGTACCCTAAAATATTATTTTTAGGGGAATAAAAAATTTTTAACTTACTCCTCATTTAGTTGCGAAGAATTCCGATATACTTACATAACACATTATTCTAACAATAGATCAGAAAAAAAATTAATTAAAAAAAAAAAACAAGTTTTGAGTTTATACATTTTTTATTATTATTATTATTACCCTCAGCAGCAAATTATAATATATATAAATATATTTATATTGATATAATAAATATATATGTATAATATATAATAGCTGACCGCTATGCAATCATAATGCCAAAATAGTGTATTATGAAATATTATTTTTTTTTAAATAATTTTTTTTCTGATCTATTGTTAGAATAATGTGTTATGTTTTGTATATACAATTTATGTATTTCTATATAAAGATTTTTTTTTATTTTATAAAATAATATTGTTTTTTGTTAATTACTTGTAAAAACTATAAACTAAAAAAAAAATAATTTTTAAATAACAGTATTAAAAACTTTTATTTTAATTAATTTTTTCTGATCTATTGTTGAATAATGTGTTTTGTAAGTATATCGGAATTCTTCGCAACTAAATGAGGAATAAGTTAAAAATATTTTATTCCCCTAAAAATAATAGTTTAGGGTACTATTAAGGGTATATAAATCAATGTTTTCGCAAATTTTACATTCTAAGGCCTAAATTAGTTGGATGGTAGTTTTTTTTATAAAAAAAAAAATATTGGTTTAATCTTCTTTTTCTAATGATGATTTTGTGTACAAGCAACATTTGTTTAAAATTGATATTTATATCTTAAAAACATTAATAACTAAAAAAAAAATATTTTTTTTGGAAAACTGATGCTCGCAACCTCTAAGAGTAATTTAAAAAATTTGAAAATAATGGGAAAATACTATTATACCCCAAAGAACATAATGTCAAGAGAAGAACAAAAAAAAACAAAAAAAAACTTTTTGGTACACCCTAATATATATATATATATATATTTGTTTTAATATTCAGTCCATGTTTTATTTATAGGGTACTTTGCATTCTCAACATTATTCAAACCCTCATTGTTTGATAATGTTAGCAGCATTCGCACTAAGAGCGCAAGTTGCTTCCACGCGCAAAACTAAAGCTACTAGATTGCCGTTAATAGCCTCGGCTACACTCGATTCCGATGAAGAAACGTGCTTGGTGGTCGGTATTCCACCTATTACTGAAACAATGCCCCGAAGGTGAGTCAATAATTTTCCATGTATAAATAATAAAATATGTTGCGATACTGGAAATGTTTAAAAATTCTTCTTGCTTGGCAGATGTTAATAATCCACCAAGGAGACATATTTTATATATACTGTTATAAAGCACGTATTGGTAGTTTTATTAGCAAACTAATCAATACTAAATAATGTATGTAAATTGTATAACTAATAATAATAGTAATAATGTAATCTTCATAAAATAATTTTGCCCAACATTTAATAAAGTGTAAAAATGTTTATTTATAATTTTTCCTACAAAACAGATATGACCTATAAAAAATGTTTGTCCGTGTGAAAATATTTAATAAAATAATTTTTATGTTTATGTGTTTTTTTAGTTTTTTCGGAAAAGCATTTGAACAAGTGGCCAACAAAACAAAAATGGATATATCTTTAGATTATTTTGATTCGTCTATTGTAAAAATGCAAATCAAAGATCGTCCAAAGTTTTTTGACGCATTGACTGCATTGCTTAGTTGACAAGCAATAGTCGTGACTTTGTTTTTTATTATTAATTGTTTAAGAGTTCATTTTGTACAAATGTGTAAAAAGTATTTTTTATAAAATATTTATAAAAAAAAAAAATTGCTTTATTATGTGACATTGTAACTATTTATTTTATCAAATTAAACTGTATAATATTTATAATATGGAAAATATATTGTCACATTTGAGTTTATGTATTATGTAAAACTGATTTTTATTTTTGTTAAAAAAATATGTATAATGTATGTACTGCACATAGCATAATCTAAAAAAAAATACAATATTCTTAAAGAATTAAAAATACGCATTTACATTTTAAGTATTTAAAACTAAAAGATTCGGTTGCCGAAAATTCTTCTTCTTCTTCTTCTTGGGTTTTCCGGCCATCAAGACCATCCCATCACACATCCAATCCTCCAGCCTTCCCTATCCACCGCTCTTGTTTTCCAATCCCGTCCTCCGTTCAGTGTTTCCACGTCTGTTCTTATTACATCTTCCCACCTCAATCGTGGTCTTCCCAGTGGTCTCCTGCCTACTGGGTTCTCGTCCATGATCATCCTTATGAGATGGTTCTGGCTTCGCATAGCATGTCCAGCCCATTGAAGTCTTCGGCTTTTGATTACGCTTAATATATTTTCTTTCCGGAACATCCTTTCCAGTTCCTCATTTTTTCTCGTTTTCCACTCTCCCGTTTCTCTGTCCATAACAGGTCCAAAAATCTTCCTTAAAACTTTCCTTTCAAAAACCAGTAATTTCCTTTCCTCAGTCTTTCTCAATGGCCAGGCCTCAGCCCCATAAGTGACAACTGGGCGTATTAAGGTTATGTATAGTTGTATCTTCATTTCTATTGACAGAGATCGTGATCCTAATATTTTTGTGAGTCCATAGAAACATTTCCTGATAGGATTCTTGATGCTATTTCTTTGTCAGTCTCATTTTTTTCTGTTAATATTGAACCCAAGTACTTAAGACTCTACTGAACTCATATCTACCAACTTTCAGGTGTGGAAAAACGGCCACATTATCTCTTTTACCAACAATCATGTATTCGGTTTTTTCCTCGTTTACTTGTAACCCTATTTTTTTTGCCTTTTCCTCCAAACGAGTGAATTTGCTCATTAGTACCACATCATCTGCATATGCTAAAATTGCTATAGTCGATTCTTGTAACTTAACACCTTCTTGTGGTTGAATATACATTTCTCTTACTACTTTCTCTAAAATTAAGTTAAATAGAATCGGTGATATTGAGTCTCCCTGTCTTAACCCAGACTTTATTAGTATTGGCTCTGTTTCTGCACTTCCTACCTTAATTTTTACGAATGTTTCTGTGATGCTTATCCCAATAAGTCTTATTCATTTTTGTGGTAACTTAAATTCTTTCAGGCAATTAGTTAGGCTTGCTCTATGTACGCTATCGTATGCCTTTTTGAAGTCGATAAAAAGAACATGTATCTCTTTGTCGAACTCCCAAGTTTTTTGGAACAGTTGTCTGAGGATAAATATCTGATCTACTGTCGACCTTCCTGGTCTGAATCCTCCCTGATAGTCACCTATAGTTTCTTCTGCTTTACTCTTTAACCTTGATAGTATGCAGTTCGGTTGTCGAAAATAGCAGACGCAAACTTATTAATTTTTTAATTTTTATTATAAAAATTAGTTGAGGTTTTTTTGTGATATCTGTAAGGTATGATTTTTATCATACATTTATAGGTTCGATGCTGAGCCGAGAAGGTTTTGTTCTTACATGATTATGTATCTGGACTCGGTATCTTTTAATCTGCTGAATTGATTTCTTCATGTAGCAAGTCTGTAAAAGTCATACCTGAATGGCTTTATAAAAAAAAAACTTCACCTATTCCACTTCAAAATCGTGAAAGACGCCCAAAAAATTAACATTTCTTCAACTTAAAAATATTTTCATTGTACTGTTAATTATAATTAAGAGAAGGCAATACAGTAATAAATTATTATAAACTGACGATCAATCCAATTGTGTCCACTGTAATACTAAAAATACATTTTTAATTACATTATTGTTATTAGGCAATGCTCTATAGATATTTGTATTTATACCATTACAAGCTCACAACGAAGCATTTACTTGAAAGTCATTACGTCACTTTCAGTTGGAATAATTCCAATTTTTTTTTAAACTGAAACAGGTTGTATAAAAAGAAGTTAACTTTTAAAATATGATACCGGTTGTGTTTTAAAATCAAAACATTGTTAAGATGATACCCTAACATAAACAAATTGACAACAAAAAACCCGTTCTAGATACAAAGTTCAATAGTGTGCTAGAACTAAAGAGATTTGTTTTACATGAACCAAGTCGTTTTGGTGGTGAAAAATTACTTTCTTTAGCATAAAACTCATGTTCACCTATAAATATGCACCAAACCGAAACTCAAACTTAGTTGTCGACAACAACTTTTAAGAGGACGCCACACCGCCCATTTTTAAGGAGTAAAGTATAGGCAATTTTTTACAAAGTCTAATTTGACAAGACTACATCAAGTTATTAGTTAAAACGTATTGGTTTTCAAGTAGTAAACAATTAACTGAATGTTAGACATAGGGAACAAATCTACTTTACCGGGCGCCCTTTTTCTTTCTTGAAACCTAAGTATTTCAACGTTTTGTGGATACGAGAATTTTATATATATATATATAGATATATAGATGTCCAAAGCGTTTGTAACAAAACTCCTCCGAAACGGCTTGACCGATTCTTTTGAAATTTTGTATGTATATTCAGTAGGTCTGAGAATAGGTCGTAAACTATTTTTTTTTTTATACCCCTAAGTGATAAGGGTGGTCCACCCCAAATTTTTTTTAAGTTTTTAAAAAGTCGTATAATTGCCGACGACTCTTTGCTATTAAGAAAATGCCGACTGTTAACTACGAAAAATCCAACCGGGGGGGGGGGGGGTCGAGACGACGACCCACCATACCCCCTTTGCCACCAGCCCTGGTTACATTAGTTGTTTTGTATGATTTTAAACATTTCAGTGCATGAATATAAATTAAAAATATGATGGTTCTATAAACCATAAATATGACTTATAATAAATCAATACCGTCCGGCGCCCCATTTACAAATAAAAAATGAAAAAAATAACTTGTTTACACATATATTGCCATAAAAAGTGAAATAATAATGAAAGCGTATTGTTGACAATATAATAATTACATTTTTTACAAACAAATTTTGTATCTTGAATCTGAAAAGAAAATCTTAATTATTTATGAGGGTCCAGTTCCATTATAGTCGGTCATCGGCCCAAGTGTCTTGAAAAAGAACATCTAAGAACAAAAAAGAAATAATTACTATACTCTTTTGAATTTTTGTAAAGTAATTGTACGCATTTAAGTATGAAAACAATTAGCCTACAAAATATACACCTCATTAATTTTAAAGATTTATTAAATAATTGCGATGAGAAAAGCGAACCTTTTGTCGCCAAAGTTGTTTCAACAAAAACGCCAATACAATTTTAAACTTCAAAGTGCATTTTTACCTACACAATAATTGTATTAGGCTCGAACTGTTCCAAAATCAATCAAGATTGAGATAAAATTCCGACAAGGGTCCCTCCCTTTTTGCTTTCCGCATTACAATTATTGACAATTGTTGTATTAATCTTGTTGTATAAATTGTTTAAATGTATTTATTTTATAGGTTTTAGAGTTAAATAACTGTATTGTTAATTTACATTTTACATTTCCTCTTGGTAATAGTAAGACGTACCAGCTCCAGCATGTGCGTACGGCGCAGATCTGTTCGTCTCCAAATAAAAATCACCACGTGCACTAATAACAAAACACTCTATTGACTTTGGATCGGTTTTTAGGCGCTTAAAAATTAGCTACTTGGGGTTGGCATCGTGTCCCATATAAGATTGATATCCGGAAGTGCAACCGCCATTATTGAATTCATCCCAAGAACCACATTCTACGGCTTGCATAGAATTTCTGTGGTACACGGAATCGGCGTAAAGTAAGTACGCCCTCGAATGACTGCAGCAAACTAAAAAATAAATAAAGCACAAATTTAGCGAGATATAAGCGATCACAACTTATGGGGTGGTAATATATTATAAACATCATAGTCAACCCATGCCGAAGGCACCTGAAAAAACACTAGGCAATAGAGTATATTAAGGAAAATTTGAGATTATTAATTGAAGACCGAAAGGCTAGACAATTTTTAAGGATAGATCTGTGGAGGGTTTTACTCCCGTGGCGTGAAAATAGTTCAACTTAATAATATGATAATACAAAGTGACGTTTAAATAAAGAATAAATTGTTCAATAACTCAAGATAAAATCCTGGCCCAATCTTTGTTTAAAAAAATTATGATCATGTTATATCATAATGTATTCGTGAATTTAATAAACTTGGCAAAATTGTAATTTTTAACTTCCGATATTGGTAGCTATAGAAATGCCACGTTTTCACGCTTTGGCTATTAACTTATTTCTCAACATTTGGGCTTTTATGCGACTTTTAATGCAGATTTGAACTTTTTTAATCGCCTGCGTATTTAAGTGTATACGTTAATAGTTTTATGATAGACAAAAAAAAAAATGTTTAGTCGATGAGGTTGGCTGAATGACAATCTAGCATCGCACTGAATTGGTTAAAACAATGTGCATGCGACATGCGGCCTGTCATTTGTACTTATTATTTTCGGTTTTTTATGCCATACTACCTACATGTATTAATATCAATATTATGGAAACATTTATACCTGACTGCGTACAAAAATCAGGGTCACGACTGATGTGTAAATATGTTTACAATGTCTATGTATTTTTGTTTATTTTTTTTTCAATTATTGAAATTTTGACAACGTTGCGTCGCTAGCAAACACTGGTATGACGTTAAAATGTTTTGTCTGTCTACTATTTTCACACAAAATCAATAGGTACAAGGTTAAATAAAAAAAGCTATTTAATTTTCAAATCTCTAATGGCACCGGAAAGTTGGGAGGCCGATGGAAAATTCACGTTATTAAACCAGAAGTCAACAGGTACTTCTCAACTATGGTCTTTTGGCATACGTGGGTTAGTCTTATGGTGGCTTCATAATTATTAACGCTGAGAAGATCTCGAAACCCTCCTATTATTATCTATCCAGTTTCCCGGTGCTACTCGCGGATGATTCTAATATACAAGATATATTTCTTTAAAAGTTGTTATAAAATAGCGTGAATTAAATTAGACTACATGTCAACTATGTATGAGTTTATAATCTTTCTTTAGTTAAACAATTTTTGAAAGAAAACCCAATTTGGAAGGGCATATTTTGGTAATTTTTGGACCATGAACTGCCATGGCGGCTAACCTAACACATCACTATACTTATAACGGCCAAAATAAAAACTTTATTAATGGGAAAAACATAAATTTACTGGCTTTGAATATATCCATGGGCTGAAACCCACTGAAACATCCTGGTTGAGGCGCTTTTCCACCGTTGGGGCGAAAGTCAGCGTGTCCAATCGATTTTGAATAACCTCCCGTGCCCGCAGATGAATGAATCACGTCAACAAATAAAGCATCAGTGGATCTAAGACGTTGGGTATTTATTTTGAAAATTTCAAATCCGGGACACGCCGGATCTAGGGCTGCACAAAAAACCGATTCACGGTATATTGAATCATATAATGTAATACAACACTTAAGTATTTTTACACTGCACAGTCCGCATGTATATCACCTGTTATCCTGCCGATTTGGTCTGACCCAGTGAAATGTGAACCGATAACTCCTGCGATGTGGGCGCCCAGACTGTGTCCTATTATATGAATGTCTTTAGGCTGGATTATTTCCAACTGCATTATGTTGTGTAACAGCCGAGCTATGATAGCGCCAACGTCTTTGGTAAAAATGGCAGCCATCGGGTAAGTTTGGCTATTGGCCAATTCTCCCCAGTCCGCCGTTATCACGTTAAATCCTCCAACATCCACGTATGCTTTATAAACACACCAATAATAGTTGTAAAATGTTGGAGAAAACATAAGCCTGTTAGTGTACAACAGTTGTCATTGAAAATAATAGTTTTCTACGTTCCCCTATCTGTTTTTGACCAAGTACACATTTTCGACAAACTATATAAGTGTTACGGGTTTCAGTTAATAAAGTATTACAAGTATAAGAAACGAAACAATATAATATAATATTTTGTTTAACCTTTTTTAACGCAGGTAACGCCGTCGTCTTCGTACTCAGTTGAATCGAGCCAACCGTGAACGATGACTTTGAGAGGCAAACCCTCAATCCAATACTTAAACAATTCTTCTTCCTGATTTAATTTTAACTCCGCTGGATTATTATTTCCGCAATTTCTAAAATGCGATAGTACATACAACAATAAAAATATTGAAAATATAATAATAATATATACTATAGGTGTAGTACATAATAACAAAATAAAATTAATAGATGATATTATATTTTATATCATTACACAAAAGACCAAAAAACATATGCAGCTCAATGAATTAACCTAAGAGATTTACATTATTAATTGTCATTATGAAACCTAGCGTTGACTATCAAAATTATAACTGTAATATTATTGTTGTCTACTTAGTTACATGGAACCTATTAAGCTTGTAAAAGTATTATACGTACAATATAATGACACAGCTCAAATTTATGCTGTAACACGCATCGAAATAATGATTTTACAATTAGCATTTTGACAACGAAAAAAACAATAACAAATATAATGCATATGTACTCATCGCCGGGAAGAGGCCTAGTTTGGTAACATTTTTAGTTTGCGCCGCATTTAGGTTTCAAGATAGGTCTAAGGAGGATCGGTTGGTAATTGATAAATGAGGCTTTTAAACGCTTTTGTCTTTAATCCGAGGCAGGGGTTTCTACAGCTAAAACATATTGTACGCTAAATTTATTATCTAGCCTAACGTCCATAAGAAATACATTACTATCGTAAACTTATTGGCGATGCGTTTGGTATTTTTAAAATTTTTAAATTTTAGGTCTCTAGCGGTAATGAATGTCTGTGTAATATAGAGTGACCGAATTCAGAAAAATAAAATGCAGTGTTAAACTCCTACCATAGTGGAAAATATTGTGCTACCGTAGTCGAGTTAAAAGTTAAACATAGAAAACACAGTAAAACAAGCTGAGTAAAAGTCTGTTGTGATGCGATGATGATTGTTATTTTTGTGGTATACCGTAGAGGGTTTATTTAAATATTGCATTATTTTATTTCTTTACTATAATATATAACCCCAAGGGTTGCTTAATTTTTTTCTAGGTAGAAAACACAAATTTAAAAAAAAAATTCATTGGAAACCAATCGGCGATTTCTTATTTTCGATTTTTATCTACTTAATTAACTGCGATCGCATTAATATTATATTGAAATTAAACTAATCTTAGTATTTTAGTATTTTACACGTGTGGTGTACGTACGAATTCCAGTAGAGAAATGTTACATGTTTTTCTGTGGCACCCATCACTGTCGTTTCGAATCCCAACTTTTTTTTTAATGCCAGCGTTACCAATTCATGAGTGATTTTCCATCCGGCACCAACATCCGCTGTAAAATAATTGAATTCATCATAATATAATATTATTAGGCGTTTCGAACAACACACAGAAATACACTACAGAAAGGTTTTTTTGTAATTTAACCGTGTTCTGTTGACGTTAAGTATTAGTGTAGTTGTATTATATATAATCGTTTGTCTAGTGATGTTACTCCGGTGCCCTATAGCAGATAGCTGTTTAATATTAATAGTATATTGTGTTTAAACTAATGCACAACATAATACCGTTGCAATTAGCCGTGATCTGCAAAAGAATGACTACGGTAATGAACATCATAATATTTGGAATGACGTGTAGCAGTGTTCTAAGTATGTCTAAGTACTATTGACGTCTGCCAGCCATTGCCATATACATAAGTTCACTTCTCTAAATTATTCAGTCACGCCGTTATTGTTATCCAATACAGGTGCCGAATACGCGCGTTTGGAAACAAATGGCGAACCGCAATAGGTATATTATTATAATTACTGTTATGTACTGTCTACTGATCTGGGTTACATGGGAAATTCGTATGTGCAATTAAAAATTGAACGACGAAAATGCACATTTGCCAGTGTCTGGTAACATGCGATTATCGCGCAATTATCTACAAATCTATTTTTTTAATACAACTATAATGCAATACTAGAGTTGGGTACATATTACACACACGTCAAAATCAAATACAAATTCATATTATACCATCACTTTAAGTTTAATATTGTCATGTTATGTTCATTGCATTGGTTTGTCCAAAAAAATAGTAGCTTACAAATGTAATTAATAAAGCTTGGCATTCTTTTTGCTTTGTAATTAAATTGTATGCAAAGTGCCAACGTAAATTTGTAAAAAGCGTAGTACGAAATAGCGATAAAATTTAATACATTTTACACTATTTTTTTCTACGGTGAAAAAGAAAACTACATGTGTTTCATTTTACAATCCTATTTTGTTTAATTTCAAGTAATAATTCCAATAATTATTCGATAAAATGTTTAAAACCAGAATTTATATTATAGTTTTTCTAACTTGTGGGGAAAGCGCAATTTCTTGTGTGCAAAAAACTGCACTAAAAACCATGTTATTTTTTATTATTAAGATTAATGACATTATAAAAACGGGGTAAAGATTATTGTGTATTTTATTAAATAGGTAACAAAGAATAATTAAATACAAATTTTTAGATAATATTTCTAAATATAAATTTAAAAAATGATTTCAATTTCTATTTATTAAAGAAACTGTCGCCGGCATAACTTTTACCTTGTTTAACTCGAAAAAGGGACATTCTTTACTATTACTATATATTTGACTGTGTACTTATATACTTGATTTTGATTGGCATGCCTTTATGCTGACATATTTGTTTTTATCATTGCATATTTGATGAATATAAGGGTATATGTGCAATAGGTAACCTTGTATATTTCAATCATGATTTAGTTTTAACATTAGTTACATAAACGCATTTTGTATAACTAAAAAAAATAAATATGATCGTATTACTCATAAATAATTTTAGAAAACCGAAATTTTAGTGTTTAATCATACATTAGTATCTGCTCGGTTATAAAGTGAGCTATAATATATATATATATATATAAGTATAAAATAATACACTTTACATTATTGTACTAAATATGATAACAATAATTCTAATAACATAATTTTGAAAACATTTTTACCAAGTGTCTTATCCAAAAACAAATATTAATATACAACTTCAATGACCCGGTTTTTTCACAGTAAACCTAACAGTAGGTGCAGAAAATCAAGAAGAAAGTCATGTTTTCACGGTTGTCCAACGTGAAACATCTAATAAAACTCAGCACCAAAATACTTTGAAAAAACTAAAGAATAATAATCACATCGATTATCAAGACTAAACACAATATTTAACTTTGTATTAATTTAATGTCTTAAAGGTAAATAATTCTGTCATAATATGAAAAATATTTAGTACAGTGGGTCGGCGCATACTGGGTCGAGGTAGGTCACAGGTCCACAGAAATTATTATAACTATAAAAGTGATAGAAATACAAATATCGATGAAAGTGTTGAAATTACAATAATATTAAAATTGTATTTTTACTATTAGGGTAGTTACGATTAAGGTCCATACGTTTGTCTTCATTAATTTAATTCCGTTGTTGCCCATTTATCATTTATTCATTTATCAATGAAAATATTTTTCTGATGCCTATTGACTGTGAATTTACTCACAAATAGAGACATAGAAATTCACAACGATCAAAGTGTAATTTTCCGCTTTTTTATTATTAAAAAAAAATATTGACTTAAGATTTTTAAAAATGTTATAAATATTATAGTTTTACTCTAGGTTTACCTTCGTTCTAATCTTTCTAAAACTGCTCGAAAAAGATAACTAGAGAAAAAATGTTCATCCCTTCTAGGGTGAATGGCTTATGATATTTTTTTGGTTTGTCAACATTTTTCAATAATCCTAAAAATTTTCTTACAAATTTGGAAGTAATTAAAATATTTGTAAAAAAAAAGTTACAGAGCGCCGTAATTGAGGAATAAAAAGAACTTTTAAATTGTTGGTACATTTTTATTAAGTATCTTTCAGGTGCCAGTTCTGATCTGTAGATTAACTACATGAAGAAATGTTTCAGAAGTTCACAAAATAACATGGTTCGAAAAAACACACATAATTGTAAAAACAAGCTTCAGCTACGCATTGAAGCTAATATCACAAATTGCTTTGTTTTTATATTTATACAACCTTTAATTCAACTTTAAACTGTAAAAACAATTAGTGCCTAAAACATAAATTAAATTAAATTCTTATTTTTAAGCTCTCGGCTTCGAGCTGAATAATACATATTTATTTGAATACGCTTTGTTATTAAGAGTAAATAAAATATATTTCATCAAACATTTTACATAACATTATAGGGAAGTGAAACTATCTCAATAGGTAACCGTAATATTATGTAAGTACTTAAATAGTATTAATAACTATAACATACCTACTAACACACATTATAATATTATTGTTAGATAGTCCCGTTCAATAAAAATAACTTAAGATTAATGGAAAATTGGCCATTGGCGATTATAATTGGATTAAATATATATTATGTATCTTAAAAGTTAAACGTTCTTTCGTGTCGATTGAAGTGTTGTTGTGTCAGCACTCTGGTTTAACCCATATGGAGGAGAGCTTGTGGTACGCAAATAGAAATTACCATTCACACTAGAAACAAACAACAGACGTTTTAATGCTCCATAATGAACAAATGTTCAAAAAAATATTAACACAAATACGGTGTGTTGTATTTAGTTAATATTAAAATATATAAATGTATACGTGGGTATATTTAATTAATTTACCTACTTGTTTAAAATTTTTAAAATCACCATTTTTCGGTATTAAGCGTTATATTAGGATCAATTTAGGATTTTTCGTTACTAAAAGCGTAAGAGCTCTTTTTTAAAATTAATTCATTCGATACAAAATGTACCAAATGCGCAAGAGTGTATGCGTGTACATGGACAGGCTTCAAGAATGAGTTAAAAATAGGCTTGAACCCATATTTTTCCATCGTTTATCATATTATTATTATTCAGTTTAAAAATATTGGTAATGCAATATAACAGCTTGCCTCGGTGACGCGTAGTGTCCCATATACGTTTCCGAATTGTTTTTGCATTCACCTCTTTCGTAACTGGACCACGATGAACACACTGTGGCTACCATAGACTCCATGTGATATACAGAGTCGGTATACAATTCGTATGCTCTAGTGTGACTACATCCCGCTGGAATAGACAAGTATACGAGCGATGACCACCCGAATGAACTGGAGCGCCGAACCCCTTATACCTGAGCTGAGGGTGTGTTATATACACATGAGGGTGGGTTATAAGGAAAGGTAATTATTATAAGGAAACCAATGCTATGGTACGCTTGAGAATAACTGAAAAAACTTTATGGGTACAGATTCGGCGTTACAACCCCCAAGTACAAGTAGTGTGTACAATGATGATTTACCGGCGTGTGCAAATTTAACCAGATTCAATCCATCGTAACAACCCGGCTGAGGACGACTTCCTTTGTTTGGGAAGAAGTCCACGTGCCCCAAGGATGAGGAATACCCCAACCCTCCTGCTGCCGTGTGAATAATATCCACAAAAAGGGCGTCGGTTTTGTCCAACTGATGGTCTACTATGATGATGTATTCGAAACCGGGCCCTGCGGGATCTAAACCTGAAAAGAAATATTATTATACAGCCGATGTAAGATTATCGATCATCGTTGTTTAGATCTCAACACACAAACACACACCTGTTATTCGGCCGATTTTGCCCGAAGTGAAAGCAGCGCCGCAAGCTCCAGCAATGTGGGCGCCTAGACTGTGGCCAATCAAGTGGATGTTGTCCGATTTGAGAGTGCTGCCCCCCTTGTTAACCAGGTTAACCAGGTTCTTCAGCATTTCAGCCATGTAAGTGCCCACTTTCTTCGTCGATAAAGCCGGTATTAGATAAAAGCGATTGCTGCTAATTGCGCTCCAGTCCATACATATAACGTTAAACTTGGTAACATTCAGGTACGCTAGAACGACAGTGGACAATGAACTTAAAAGATGATATTATATACAAGCAACTGGTAAAAATACCATATTGCTCTCTACAGCTCACACGAGCATTGTTAAAGTTTAAAATGTTATACTTTTGTCAGCCATATTTTGCTGTTTTTACAAATAGTATAAATTGATTGTCAGTTATTGCTATTTGATAAAAAGTGAATAATATAAATATATATATTATGGTCCAACTTCGATTGTTTTACCCGTTTTAATCGCAAATACTCCATTAATGTCTTGACTCGTTGCAAGCCAACCGTGTATCACGACTTTCAGATCTTCTTCCGGTATCCAATCCTTGAGTAAATTCTCCTCTTGGCCTATCGTAAATACGGTGGGTTTTTTGTTTCCAAGATTGCTATTCAAATAAAAGTAATCAAATTAAAAGTGTTATACAAGCCTATTAACGAGATCCACCTGTATAGTCTTATATTTTGAGGGGAAGTCATACTATGATCAATAGCCATAATGGTTCTAAGTTTCATAAAAAGTCTAATTTGCACATGGAAATAAAAAAAAAGTATTGATAGACATACCAAACTGTTTAAACTCAATACTTAACAATGCCACCATTCATTTTTTATAATTCAAGACCTTGGGACAACAACCAGACATGACCATTTTAAAAAAAAAAAAAAAATTTTCATAACGTTTTAAATTTCAAAAAATACTAATCAATTCTTTTTTTAATTTGAAACGTTTTGAAAAAAAAAATTGAAAAAATGGACATGTCTGGTTGTTGCTCCAAGGTCTTCAATTATAAAACGTCGTGTTGAATCACGCTTCAAAATAAAACATGTCAGTTCATTTATAGTAATCACCCATTTGAAAATACATAGATATTTTGTTGTTTTTTTTAACTTGTCGTCCAATACAGACTTTCTACCGAAAATATTTCTATTTACCAACCTATTTTTTGTTTTAACCAAAACAAAATCTACCTTATTTTAATAATAAAAATTGATTTATTAATAAATTGGTTTTTGCATGATTGCTTGCAACATAATTTACTTTTATTTAGTATGACAGTTCTAGCATTGATTTTAGATACTAGTGTTTATAATAATCAGTGATTCTGGCCAATGTATTTAATTTTTTAATTATTCGCAAAAGTAGGTAAGCAGAAGACTGAAAATAATTTGTTAAAACTTTATTCTCTATTAGACGCTTGTCTAATTTTGTATCACTTAAAATGTCAGGTATCTAGCTAGGTGTATAAAAAATAAGTTATTAGGTATCGAACAATCAAAATACATTTCAAAAAAATATTCTCTGTTCAATTAGTAAGTAGTTAGTACTAATATGGAACTGTTTAGATTTTAAAAGTTATTGGAACACTGTAAGTAATGCAAAACGATTTGGCACGAATACGCGAAAACGTGTAGAATTTTATTGGTAGGTTTGTTCCTTCATTATCGTCTACCCTAGTTAGTACTGTATTTATCTTAATAATTCAAACGATAGACAACTTGTTAACACTTCATAATCAACAAATATACAATAATAATTGCAGCTCGTTCAAATACATACTGATTCCAGTAGGAAAATTTCAAGCTAGCGGGGTCGAACGGCCGTAGGGTTCTACCTAATTCTTCATTTGCCGTCTCTTCGGTGGTATTTCCCGTGTTTTCGACCGCATGTTCCGTATTTTTTAAGACATTTCCAGCTGTGCCAATGTTTAATTGAGCTATATGAACACAAACAGGGTTGATGCGAATCGTTCAATTCGATTAGGCGACGTCCTGAGAAGTGAAACGTAAGACGTTGCAAAAAAAAAAAAAAAAAAAATGAATCGCTTTCTTCTACATTCGACAGTGCAAGATCAAACGAGATAAGAGTGTACGATCTGGTCGAGCAAGTAACGCACTTATTTCACAGCAACAGGTACATTGTGCATAGCGATTAGCGTGTAATGTATTTTATGTATAATATATAATAATTAATTAATGAATTTTTTCATTTTGTATGCGTTTGGCGTTTCCTTGATTAAATCGGTGCAAGTCGGCTGACAGCTGTGGTAAAACTATTAAAATTAACTTGCAGGTAAGAAAAACAAACTGACCGTCGCTTAGGTGGAATGTGACCAGGACTAACGCTATGGCTACAATCATCTTCAAGTTGGTAACTTGCCCTCAGAGTGTATAACGATATAAGCACCTCGTCCACGATCAACGACCACTCTAATATAGTCATGGGTACGAATATTACCGACTTTATTTATTTTGCCGATAATTACATTAAAAATAAAAAAACTACGGTCTAGGATATATTAGTTTTATTTGCCGTCATTTGTTTGTTAATCTGTTCGATTTACAAATAGTTTGTGGAACAATATAGCCTACCTATCTGCAGTCTACATTAAACAAACTAAAATTACGACTGGCAGAAATCAAACACTGACCTGTTTTGTTGACTTATCGTCCGCCGACCGAAAATGAAGGTACACAAGAGGCCTAAATATAGGATTAAACTGTTGCACGTAATTAACATGCTTAAATAAACGACTATCTTTACACGTAGTAATTACATTTGAATGTACATCTTCATTGCGTTATTATTATAACGTTACCCTATCAAGTGCAATCGGCTAATATTTTCTGCCTATTTATACGACAACAAAGTACCCAAGCAACTCCCCTTTATCGCCATTTGGCGTGTGTCTAACGATGCAACACTCTCCCATACTATGTCAGGTCCGTTAATTCATTCCTAAGCCCCGGCCATAGTTGTGTATAGGTACATATTATCTACCTTCTTATTTAAAAGTAATCTTTACTATTCATGGCTATTAAAGTTTTATAAGGTATTCACTCATAGTTACCCATGTATCGCAATTAACAATATAATGCAAATCATTTCATTATCTGTTGACTGTTGATTCACTCACACACAGCAACCTAGAAAGCGTTTTCATCATATTTGTGTTTTATAATATTAACAAAAAAATGTAGTCCTTTACGTCAGACTTTCATAAGACCGTTTCCGTACAGCCAAAATAACACTTGCTCGATAATATCTATAATGCCCATTTCATGATTTCTCTTCGCATTTTTACTACTACAGTCGTAGGTACATCGTACAACATTACAGTGTTCTTCAGAATTTTAAACGAATAAAATATTCGTTATTGCATAACATTATGCAAAAAGTAGCCATTTTTTTCATAGCTATCATTATCTTGAAGGTATCATTGGGTAATTTAGCTCTCTACAGCTCACACGAGCATAGCTGTTAAAGTTTAAAATGTTATACTTTTGTCAGCCATATTTTGCTGTTTTTACAAATAGTATAAATTGATTGTCAGTTATTGTTATTTGATAAAAAGGGAATAATATATATATTATGGTCGAACTTCGATGGTTTTACCCGTTGTAACCGTAAATACTCTATTACTGTTTAGACTCGTTGCAAGCCAACCGTGTACCACGACTTTCAGACCTTGTCCCGGTATCCAATACTTGAGCAAATTCTCCTCTTGGCCTATTGTAAATACGGTGGGTTTTTCGTTTCTAAGTTTGCTATTCAAATTAAAGTAATCAAATTAAAAGTGTTATACAAGCCTATTAACGAGATCCGCCTGTATAGTCTTATATTTTGAGGGGAAGTCATATTATGATCAATAGCCATAATGGTTCAAAGTTTCATAAAAAGTCTAATTTGCACATGGAAATAAAAAAAAGTATTGATTGACATACCAAACTGTTTGAATGCCACTATTTATTTTTTATAATTCAAGACCTTGGGACAACAACCAGACATGACCATTTAAAAAAAAAAAAAATTGTTTTCATAACGTTTTAAATTTCAAAAAATAATAATCAGTTTTTTTTTTAATTTGAAACAACGTTTTGAAGAAAAAAAATTGAAAAAATGGACATGTCTGGTTGTTGCTCCAAGGTCTTCAATTATAAAACGTCGTGTTGAATCACACTTCAAAATAAAACATGTCAGTTCATTTATAGTAATCACCCATTTGAAAATACATAGATATCATTGGGTAATTTTTGCTCGTATTTTTTTTTTTCACAGTACTTCATTCTCGCGAAGATTATTAGAAATTAACAATATACTATACTTATGACTTATACTGATAGGAGTTGATTACTTGTATATTTTCCTCATAAACTTATGTATGCGAACAAGAATGTTATAAGAATATTAATATTGATAGTTAATTTTCTTCTTTATATTTAGTCGGCCAAGGTAAACCACGTCCAGAAACAAGATACAACATGCGATTTTACTTAAATTATTTCTATTTTTTTTTTTTTTACATCCACAACTTTTGTACACTGATCAATATAAATATCGTGGAGTAATAATATAGCACTAGAAGTGGAATAACGGTAGGAATAGGAGCTACTTTTTTGTTATTTGACAGTTAGCAAACAGATATAGGCGTTGTATGGTATTTTGTTGTATTAGGCGAAGATGGTTGGAAAAAAACGGATAACTCTCAGAGTCGGTATAGAATGTAGAATAATTAGTAATAGCCATGGCTTAAATATACATAATAATATATTATATTTAAATCACGGTAATAGCCTACTTATTGAGAGGACGCCACGCCAAAAGTGGAACGCATGCAACGACCGATAGAACGCGCTGTTAGGTGTTTTAGCGAGGCGCAGGCACGCGTTTTTAGCCCCGCCTACCACGTTACGGTTGGACGTAGCCGGCCTGTCAATTTCTCGTACGGGGCCGTGTTTTATTATAGAATGAACGCCGTTGGTAGACCATTCGTATACTTTGAAATTGCATACGCTGTATACAGCCGACATATATTTTATACAGTATCTGCACGCACCCACGAATTAGTCTGATTGAGTAAATTGTAGGTATTGAATATAATATTTGTATTTGTGTAGTAGGGTTTTTTGAAAGCAATCCTGAGTAAGCAATTTATCGTTGTTATAAGTGTTTTTTTAAATGCGCCTTTAAAAGCTCCTCTCCAAGCAGCAGCAATTCCATAAGAGAAAACTGACCGAGCGATTGCACAATAAATCATTCTCATGCCGATGGTCAATAAAATATTGTTTAGAGTTTTGAAAATATAGAACATGCTTCTAACTTTTTTAATAGTAGACCCAATGAAAAAATACACGATTTTTCCAGAAACTCATACAATCTTATTTTTATACATTTTTCCGATACTTTGGATAATGTATAAGTCAGGGATATCATGCGGACAGTGACGTAGACACGGGGGAGGGTTTAGGGGGTTCAACCCCCCCCCCTTACACTTGATTTAGCTTAATACTTAAATTTTATAATACCGTTAGTTGTTTTAATTGTTATCACATATCAGTTATCAATATAAAAATTACAATTGTTCAAAAAGAGTAAAAACATACCTTAGAAATACTGTGTAATCATATACAATTTTTAATTGTATTTTAATCATCTAACTTATTTTAAACAGGATCGTCTAAATGGCTTAGTTCTTCTAAGCTATTATCGAGATGAATTTGCCAAAAAGCCAAGAAAAATAGATATTTTGTTATAACTTATAAGTGTTAAAAAGTGAAATAAACTTAGTGTTTTTTTTTCAACCATGACCCCCCCCCCCCCATAAAAAATTCTTGTCTACGCCACTGCATGCGGACACGAGAATTATATATATATATATATATACAAAATCGTTCCAAGTAATGTTGGCATGTAATCAATAATTACTTGGCAACCTTTAATTTGTTTAATTACGTTAAATAGCCTTTGTTATTGTGAAAAATCTATTCATACATTCGTATATCTCGCTGTATTGCATTTTCATTACGATTGATTACTACTTTTTTGTACGGTACCTTCAAGAAAAATGAAATTGTCGACGAAATTACTCATCGCCGGTGGAGTGTTTGGCGGCGGCGCCGCGCTTAACTACTTGGTGATACCAGCTGCGAAGCAAGTAGCCTCATGGTGGTGGCCAACCGTAAGTATTGTATTTCGTGACGGCGCGTGTACTTAATACCGGTTATCAATCGGCATAATGCTTTTCTATATACATCATGTAGATACAACAATGTCTATACCACTGAAGAGTAGTTTGTACGTGAGAAGTTTGTTTTTGAGATTGAGGTGTTGTGTTGTGAGAAGGAAACGCAATTGACGGGAGCGGTTGTTTAATACGAGACGTTTGGCATGGATATGAGTTGCCCAAGTAAGGCGGCGGTCTAGATGTAGTAGGCCCAGGTATCGGACATTTTGAGCGGTTGGAAGGGGTATGTCGTTGAGGTAGACATGCGGGCTGTCTGTCCGTTTAAGAGTAAATGTGCAGTGGAGGCTAAACTTTTGTACACTGATCAATATAATTATCGTGAAGTAATAATATATCAAGACTAACTGTAAACAATTGTAAACAATACCGTTATAACAAATGATGAGTGCCCCCGGTATCTGGGAGTTAAACTAGACAGAACCCTCACTTACAGACAACATATGAAGAATAAGCTTAAGACCAGAAACAACATCATCGCTAAGCTAGCTGGGACGAGCTGGGGCTGCAACGCAAATGTTTTAAGAACCTCAACGCTAGCATTAGTGTACAGTGTTGCAGAGTATTGCTCTCCAGTTTGGATGAAAAGCGCTCACTGTAACAATGTCGACGTACAATTAAACCAAGCCACGCGAACTATATCCTGGACGGTCAAAAGCACACAAACGCTAATGGCTACCAGTTCTCTCCAATACACTACCACCCGAACTACGTAGGAAAAAGGCGGCGTCATCTATCCTCGAACAAATTAAAAACAAAACGGACCTACCAATTCATAATGATGTTTTTCTCCACACCGATAAAAGACTCAAATCAACGCATCCAATATGGAACGCGGATATAGGACAAGAAACCCCACAAGAGTTATGGAAAAAACAATGGAAAGAATCCGGCGTTAAAAACAGCTTTCTGGTTGACGACCCAAACATAAAACCGCCTGGTTTTGAGCTGCTTCGACCAATCTGGTCAACACTAAACAGGATACGTTCTGGCCAGGGAAGACGTATTACTTCGTCAATTCCTGCAGCTTTCTTCCTTTTTAGATCTCTAAGTGCTTTATCAAATTCTTCTCTCAGTACACCATAATTTAACCCGTTATCCAGTACTTCTTCATGTTCTACTTCTTGTCCAGTGAGTTCTGGCCCCTCATATAGCTGTTCTAGATACTCCTTCCATCTTTGTCCTCATAAACAATTACTCCACTGTTATCTTCTATTGCACCTCTTTGGGGTTTATAATCGTTAAAGAAATTTTTAACTGATTTATACGCTGCATCTCTGCTACCAGTTCTCATTTGTACCTCTATATCTTTGCATTTTTCCTCTAGGTATTTTTCCTTTGCTTCTTTTGACTTTCGTATTACAAGATTTCTTAGTTCCCTGTATTTCCGCTTATGTTCAAGAGTAGTCCCATTCTTAAGCTTCGTTCTTTCATCTATCATACTTACTATCTCTGCTGTTATCCATTCTTTCCTAGGTACTGTAGCTTTATTTTCTTTCAGAACCTTTAATGCTGCTTCTGTCACTGTGCTCTTTATAATAGCCGACCTATTATTTTTGTCGGTTCTCTCATTTATATTTATATTAATTGTAAGTTCTTTAAACCTATCATATGCCTTTTCTTCTTTTAATTTGTTTATATGCCATCGATCATTGTTTCTCTTTGATACTATTTCCTTGAACTTTAGGTTACTTTTCGTCATTAATAGGTTATGGTCACTATCTATGTCTGCTCCTGGATAGCTTCTGCAGTCTTTTACTTGGTTTCTAAATCTCTTCTTGACCATTATGTAATCTATTTGATATCTACCTATGTCTCTCGGCATTTTCCATGTATACCTTCTTCTTGGATGGTGACCGAAATAGGTATTTGTAATTAATAACTCGTGTTTTGAACAGAAATTTATTAATCTATCTCCTCTTTCATTTCTGTTTCCTAGACTATAATTTCCTATTATGTGTCCTAGGCTTTCTTGTCCCACTACAGCGAACGCCCATAATAATAAGATTTTCATCTCCTTTAACTTTTTCAATGACTTTTTCTATTCCTTTATAGACTTCTTCAATTTCTCTCTCACTGCTATTGGAAGTAGGCATGTAGACTTGGACTATGATTGTATATCCTTGGGTTTCGTTTCGATCTTGACTAATATTATTCTTTCATTGTACTGCACAAATCCTTCAACTTTTTTCCCAATTGCCCTACTCATTATTATGCCTACCCCTCCAATTCCTGGGTTATTCTCCGCTGTTCTTGTATGTATCAATCTATATCCCCACTCCAAAGATCTCCTGCTCTAGGCCATCTCATTTCTGACAGGCCAAGTATATCAATTTTCATTCTTGCCATTTCTATTTTCAAGTTTTCTAGTTTCCCGCATTGCAACACAATTCTAACGTTCCAAGTAGCTATTCTTCTCCAATTCTTAACACTTCTTTCTCCTCCAGTAATCCCCCCTGTATACGCCACTGTAAATAGGTATATATATATATATATATTTATATATTTAAGAGCGTTTTTGGTCGGGTTGAGAACTTTTTATCTACAAGAGATAAGAGAGATAATTATACATAAGAACATATTATTATAGATTTATTTTTCGGATCTAATTACAAACAATGTATCAACTATTTGGTATAATAAAATAATAGTACAAATATTAAGTTTAATTTTAAATAGGAATTCAAAAAAGTAAACATTTAGAGCTTATTACATTTTATTTTATTAGCAGAAATGCCGTTCAGAAATAATAAAAAAATCTAAACGTATTTTATTATACCTAACATTAAATGTTGTCGTACAAAATGGCGCACACCCGTCTATCACGTGCGTGCGCTCAAACGGGACTTTCTGATTGGCTGATTGAAAGCTATTGTGTAAACGAAAAACAGCAGCCATTTTCTAATAAGAGGAATTACTTTGAAATTTACATATCTTTTCATATCTCTTAAATTGACTTATTTTTCGGCCGCCAGCAAAATCTATATGTGGTGCGGTCGGGCGTGATCGGTCCCGGGAGTGAGGGGTACCGGGTTCAATTATGGTTCCACTCTCTCTAGACTTTTTGCAATTTTCTTATAACTTTTTTTCAACTCTTATGGTAATTTATGTTGCAAGAAGTCTAAAAACTTATAAAATAATTATATTTTACTACTACAGAATACATTTTTACCCTTAAAAGTTACCCTCGCGCCAATACGTTTAAAATAAATTTTCATCAGCAGACACTGAACTCTAACAACGCGTTAGTGAGTCCGGGGAACGTAAAGTTGGTATCGTTCTAGCAGGATACAGTAAAATTATATTAAATTGGTTTGTTGTTTTTTAGGTTAGTTGTGTTTTCGTGTCGGTCTCAAATGTTGTTGATTCATTGTTCGGGGTTTGTCGTGCTGGCCACTAGTTTTTGTAATTGTTCCTCACGGAGAATAACAGGTATGCACAGTATTAAGTCGCTACACTGCTGAGGCCACATGTTCACCCCAAATATTGTAGTCCCTATAACTTACAAGCCTCAGAGTGGTCGCGTGGGGTAGAACTAAGCTAATACTGTGCGTATCCTGAAAGGTATATCTATATTTATTTATTTGTGTATTTATTTAGTTATATTGTATATTGGCCAAGTGCCGTATCATTTAAAAATTGTAACGGTCTAGTCGCCACCTTTATTAATTATTCTTTATTCAATTATTTGGTTATCAAACCTGTGACTTGTTTGAATTTACTTCTTATTTTTCTTTATTTATACACACAACATTTATAAAAAGCTGTGTAAACACTAAACAATAAAAATTATTAATAGTACTTATTAATGTACTTGTGTTCATATTGAGCACAAGCCGTTGGCGGCAACATTTGGTGACCTCGACGTGATATATTTAAACTAAAAGTGCTCTTATTAGACATATTGATTTTTATCGTTTACACAAGTTAATAATTTTAAAAAAAATGTACAGACGATAATGGTGGCGCAGGTTGTAAGTTGTAGAAATTGTATTTAGTCTGTAAGATTGTCAACGTCACATTATCATGGCAAATTCAACGGCCAAATTAGAAGCAGATTTGATTGCGGAGCGTACCCAACCAAAATCAGCAGTTACGCGAGCCAGCAACGCTTTATTAAAGTACAAATGGGAGCCGTCCACGGTGCAAGATTAAAAATTAAGAAGAGAAGAGCTATATAAAACGCGAAGTGTCTTTGAAGCAGTGCAACTTCAAATTGAATATGTAAATACTGCTAATGTTAATGATCATGAAAAACAACGAGAGGAGTTTGATCACAAATCTTTTGCAGTATTGGCAGAATGTGATAAGCTCATTTCAAATCTTCAGCCTATTCAGTTAGTGTCTCCTAATATTCCAGCTGTGTCTACAGTAGCACATCATGTTCGATTTCCAGTTATGCCTTTGCCTCAATTCAAAGGAGACATACAACAATGGAAAACTTTTAAGAATCAGTTCAGCACTCTTGTAGACACTGAAGAGTCAATCTCCAACATTCAAAGGTTCCATTATTTGCAAACATGCTTGAGCGGCGAACCGTTAAATTTGATTGCCTCATTGTTATCGGGTGAAGGCACATATTCCTCTGCTATGGAATTGCTGAAGAAGAGATATGACATAAGCGTAGAGCAGTGCAATCCCATATCCGTTGAATACTTGACCTCGCCAAGATCAATACTTCCTCTTCTGTGTCGCTAAACTGTTTTATAATATCTCTATTAAAGCATCGACAAGCATTAAGCAACCTTGGTCAGGCAGTAGATAAATGGGATGCAATATTGATTGAGCTACCGTTGAGCAAATTGGACAAGTTGACTCTACAACAATGGGAACTGTCGTTGGGCACAACTGATGTAGTGCCATTTTCCCAGTTTGAAATTTTTCTCAACTCTCGTATTAGGTTACTTAACGCGTTTGAAAGTGGTCAGCGAGGACTTGTTGTGTTTAACAGTAAATCCGACGAGCACAAATCTACCGGCTCATAGAATAAATTGTGTTTATTAATTCAAAGTCTCCCTCACAATGTCCATTATGTCGCGGTGATCACTTGTTTCATCGAAGTTCCGGATTATGAAGGTTTCTGAAAGATATGAAGTAACAAAAGGATCGCGCGTCTGTTTTAATTGTTTGTCACCTAACCACAATGCAAAGGGTTGTTCGTCAAGCAACTGTCACACTTGTTCAGCTCGCCATCATACTTTGCTGCATTATGATGCAATTAAGCAAACATCTAATGTTCAACCTAAAAATAAACCAACACAATCCCTAGTTAAAGACTCAAAAGAAAATGATCAACCTTCTTCGTCCTTAGTATTATTATTAGTCGACATGATAATTAGTTGTGTACAGACATCAGTCACACATTATAAAAAAAATGGGATCAGTAATGGCACAGTGCTGACGATACATTAAACTAAAAATATCCTAAATTTACAGGTTACAGTCTAGTAGCCTTATCAATTGCTTCCCTACATGAAATACAAATGTTTGAAGATTGTACGCCCCATAAGCTGTGGTAGTCTATTAAAGTTGTGATAAAAAATAACTAAATATGCCTAAACTGGAGTAGAGAAATATTAATACGTAGGGTGGTTTTTTACATATATTGAAATATTGTATAAACTAGCTTTGTTTGCGTTTAGGAAGAAGAAATAAACCATCTAGAAAAGGAGGTGGAGGAGTCTGCCCGTGATCCGAAACCGAATTTGGTAAGTCTAAAATACTAAATAATTGACTATGGCCAATTTTTTCCCCCTTTTTTTTACATTCCATAAATGCGAATAAGCTAATTTCCTAACCTAACCTAACGATTGTACTCCCCATAAGCTGTGGTAGTCTATTAAAGTTGTGATAAAAAATAACTAAATATGCCTAAACTGGAGTAGAGAAATATTAATACGTAGGGTGGTTTTTTACATATATTGAAATATTGTATAAACTAGCTTTGTTTGCGTTTAGGAAAAAGAAATAAACCATCTAGAAAAGGAGGTGGAGGAGTCTGCCCGTGATCCGAAACCGAATTTGGTAAGTCTAAAATACTAAATAATTGACTATGGCCAATTTTTTCCCCCTTTTTTTTACATTCCATAAATGCGAATAAGCTAATTTCCTAACCTAACCTAACGATTGTACTCCCCATAAGCTGTGGTAGTCTATTAAAGTTGTGATAAAAAATAACTAAATATGCCTAAACTGGAGTAGAGAAATATTAATACGTAGGGTGGTTTTTTACATATATTGAAATATTGTATAAACTAGCTTTGTTTGCGTTTAGGAAAAAGAAATAAACCATCTAGAAAAGGAGGTGGAGGAGTCTGCCCGTGATCCGAAACCGAATTTGGTAAGTCTAAAATACTAAATAATTGACTATGGCCAATTTTTTACCCCTTTTTTTTACATTCCATAAATGCGAATAAGCTAATTTCCTAACCTAACCTAACGATTGTACTCCCCATAAGCTGTGGTAGTCTATTAAAGTTGTGATAAAAAATAACTAAATATGCCTAAACTGGAGTAGAGAAATATTAATACGTAGGGTGGTTTTTTACATATATTGAAATATTGTATAAACTAGCTTTGTTTGCGTTTAGGAAAAAGAAATAAACCATCTAGAAAAGGAGGTGGAGGAGTCTGCCCGTGATCCGAAACCGAATTTGGTAAGTCTAAAATACTAAATAATTGACTATGGCCAATTTTTTACCCCTTTTTTTTACATTCCATAAATGCGAATAAGCTAATTTCCTAACCTAACCTAACGATTGTACTCCCCATAAGCTGTGGTAGTCTATTAAAGTTGTGATAAAAAATAACTAAATATGCCTAAACTGGAGTAGAGAAATATTAATACGTAGGGTGGTTTTTTACATATATTGAAATATTGTATAAACTAGCTTTGTTTGCGTTTAGGAAAAAGAAATAAACCATCTAGAAAAGGAGGTGGAGGAGTCTGCCCGTGATCCGAAACCGAATTTGGTAAGTCTAAAATACTAAATAATTGACTATGGCCAATTTTTTACCCCTTTTTTTTACATTCCATAAATGCGAATAAGCTAATTTCCTAACCTAACCTAACGATTGTACTCCCCATAAGCTGTGGTAGTCTATTAAAGTTGTGATAAAAAATAACTAAATATGCCTAAACTGGAGTAGAGAAATATTAATACGTAGGGTGGTTTTTTACATATATTGAAATATTGTATAAACTAGCTTTGTTTGCGTTTAGGAAGAAGAAATAAACCATCTAGAAAAGGAGGTGGAGGAGTCTGCCCGTGATCCGAAACCGAATTTGGTAAGTCTAAAATACTAAATAATTGACTATGGCCAATTTTTTACCCCTTTTTTTTACATTCCATAAATGCGAATAAGCTAATTTCCTAACCTAACCTAACGATTGTACTCCCCATAAGCTGTGGTAGTCTATTAAAGTTGTGATAAAAAATAACTAAATATGCCTAAACTGGAGTAGAGAAATATTAATACGTAGGGTGGTTTTTTACATATATTGAAATATTGTATAAACTAGCTTTGTTTGCGTTTAGGAAAAAGAAATAAACCATCTAGAAAAGGAGGTGGAGGAGTCTGCCCGTGATCCGAAACCGAATTTGGTAAGTCTAAAATACTAAATAATTGACTATGGCCAATTTTTTACCCCTTTTTTTTACATTCCATAAATGCGAATAAGCTAATTTCCTAACCTAACCTAACGATTGTACTCCCCATAAGCTGTGGTAGTCTATTAAAGTTGTGATAAAAAATAACTAAATATGCCTAAACTGGAGTAGAGAAATATTAATACGTAGGGTGGTTTTTTACATATATTGAAATATTGTATAAACTAGCTTTGTTTGCGTTTAGGAAAAAGAAATAAACCATCTAGAAAAGGAGGTGGAGGAGTCTGCCCGTGATCCGAAACCGAATTTGGTAAGTCTAAAATACTAAATAATTGACTATGGCCAATTTTTTCCCCCTTTTTTTTACATTCCATAAATGCGAATAAGCTAATTTCCTAACCTAACCTAACGATTGTACTCCCCATAAGCTGTGGTAGTCTATTAAAGTTGTGATAAAAAATAACTAAATATGCCTAAACTGGAGTAGAGAAATATTAATACGTAGGGTGGTTTTTTACATATATTGAAATATTGTATAAACTAGCTTTGTTTGCGTTTAGGAAAAAGAAATAAACCATCTAGAAAAGGAGGTGGAGGAGTCTGCCCGTGATCCGAAACCGAATTTGGTAAGTCTAAAATACTAAATAATTGACTATGGCCAATTTTTTACCCCTTTTTTTTACATTCCATAAATGCGAATAAGCTAATTTCCTAACCTAACCTAACGATTGTACTCCCCATAAGCTGTGGTAGTCTATTAAAGTTGTGATAAAAAATAACTAAATATGCCTAAACTGGAGTAGAGAAATATTAATACGTAGGGTGGTTTTTTACATATATTGAAATATTGTATAAACTAGCTTTGTTTGCGTTTAGGAAAAAGAAATAAACCATCTAGAAAAGGAGGTGGAGGAGTCTGCCCGTGATCCGAAACCGAATTTGGTAAGTCTAAAATACTAAATAATTGACTATGGCCAATTTTTTACCCCTTTTTTTTACATTCCATAAATGCGAATAAGCTAATTTCCTAACCTAACCTAACGATTGTACTCCCCATAAGCTGTGGTAGTCTATTAAAGTTGTGATAAAAAATAACTAAATATGCCTAAACTGGAGTAGAGAAATATTAATACGTAGGGTGGTTTTTTACATATATTGAAATATTGTATAAACTAGCTTTGTTTGCGTTTAGGAAAAAGAAATAAACCATCTAGAAAAGGAGGTGGAGGAGTCTGCCCGTGATCCGAAACCGAATTTGGTAAGTCTAAAATACTAAATAATTGACTATGGCCAATTTTTTACCCCTTTTTTTTACATTCCATAAATGCGAATAAGCTAATTTCCTAACCTAACCTAACGATTGTACTCCCCATAAGCTGTGGTAGTCTATTAAAGTTGTGATAAAAAATAACTAAATATGCCTAAACTGGAGTAGAGAAATATTAATACGTAGGGTGGTTTTTTACATATATTGAAATATTGTATAAACTAGCTTTGTTTGCGTTTAGGAAGAAGAAATAAACCATCTAGAAAAGGAGGTGGAGGAGTCTGCCCGTGATCCGAAACCGAATTTGGTAAGTCTAAAATACTAAATAATTGACTATGGCCAATTTTTTCCCCCTTTTTTTTACATTCCATAAATGCGAATAAGCTAATTTCCTAACCTAACCTAACGATTGTACTCCCCATAAGCTGTGGTAGTCTATTAAAGTTGTGATAAAAAATAACTAAATATGCCTAAACTGGAGTAGAGAAATATTAATACGTAGGGTGGTTTTTTACATATATTGAAATATTGTATAAACTAGCTTTGTTTGCGTTTAGGAAGAAGAAATAAACCATCTAGAAAAGGAGGTGGAGGAGTCTGCCCCTGGTCCAAGGCCGGAATTGGTAAGTCTAAAATGCTAAATAATTAAATATGGCCAATTTTTTTCCCCCTTTTTTTTATATTCCATAAATGCGTATAAACTATTTGCCTTAAAAGGGGTGAATACTTTTTCTTTATTTTGCTTTTTATGTGAAGTTTTTGGGGTTTAAAGTCTGAAAATTAGACTGTAAGTTAATCTAAAATATACAATTTTATCAACTTTTTCTTTATTTTGTTTTTTCAGAGAAGATTGATGGAAAGGATGGTTGCAGAAGAAGTAAGTGCCATAATAAAAATGTTTCGTTTAATGAGATACTATGGGATTACGACCCTAGAATGTATGAACAAATAATCGACTATACTGGAAGATTCAACATGGATAAACAATCAATTTCTATTAAACTATTTCGAATTTTGTAGTTTTTCATTTTAAGACGTTTGTTTATTTTTTTTTACAATATGAGGTCGTATTCAAATATGTATCTTTCAGTGCTCTATCAACTTTTAAAATAAATGGCACCATCTACATATATATAATTAACTTTTTTAACTCGTTAAGTGCGGTAAAGTTGTAAAATATTTCTCCTTCCCCCCTCCATATTTAATAATTATTTATTGCTTTTTTAACAATTTTTAAGCAAATAATCATTAATTTAAAAAGTTTATCAAATATTTATATGTTACAACCTAAGTTTTAAGAGTTGATTACACCTTGAAAATTTGGTTATTTTCAGAAAAGAAAACATGCTTGTATGCGTTGTGGGCAGTTAGGGCACCTCGGTGCTCAGTGCTCGTTGCCGTGGAGGGAGTCCAATGAAACGGCAGAAGAACGTGAGGCGAGATTACCAAAAAAACGCCGTCGCCATCGCCGTAGGCACTGGTAATATTAGATTAATCAAGATGTACTTATTATACAACAGTTAATTTAGATAGTTTATTAGATTAAGATAGTTTAGATTCAACAGTGTGCTCAAAAAACGATCACTCGCAAGTGTCAGATACAGAACAGATATAAAATGTTTGGATGTTGTTATGTTAATGTCTAGGTAGGTGTGTGTGTGTTTTTGTTAAAAAAGTGTTGGTCGGATAAAGGGAAGCAGAGTAGATAAGAGATTAGAACATGATGTACATGGTGTACAAAATGGAATATCAATACAAGTTTGATAGATTACAGAAATTGGTATAGTGAATAATTTCGAGTGCAAACAAATATAAAACAAGAGAGAATATTCTAAAAATATTTGTATAGTAATAAATGTATAAAAAAGTGTCCTAAATTTGATTTATAAAAAAAAAAAACTAAACTTAATTGTATATTATTATTCTGAGTGTACACATATATTAAAAACATACAGTTTAGAACTCACAAACTAACATGTACAGTTATTAAAATATAGTATAAGTTTTAGTTCGGCTATCTTTGATTATCATTGGAAGTTCTTAAAATTAGCGATTAAAAAATAAATGTATTTTATCACTCTCGATTACAGTCAATGTTAATGAAGCGAATAAACTTTACTACCATAGTTATATAAACAGGAGAGTTCGAACAATTTTATTTTCTCTAAAACTCAAACAGAAAAGTTAACTCATTTACATATAATATACAAATATTATACACTTTAATAATAATATATAAATCGTTATATTTAATAAAAAAATGTATGAGAGATGAATAGATGAGGGTGCAAAAATGTCGCGAACTAAATTATAGCGATATAGTTTTTGAGTTTAAGTTAGTGATTTGGATGTTCTGGTATGATGTTATGTTTAGAGAAAAAGTTGTAAACTACAGGTGGGTACTTCATAAGATCATGTATGCAAGATAATGTAAGAATGTAGGAAGAGATATCGTGTAGAATAATATGTAGATGGATGATGTGGAAATAAACAACATAGTAATAATCATGGTATAAATCATGGTGATAAACAACAAAGATGTTGCATATGTGTCAAAGTAAGTACAGTTTACATGACGAGATGGAATTGTAAAATAAAATGACACTAGTAATTATGTATGAAAGTTAGCGTTAGTCACTAAATAAGTATTGAAATGTTTGGATCATATCTTAATATTTTGAGATGCTAGTACGATAAAGTATTATCATAAGATCAGAGCAAGTTGGTTGTAACATTAACAAGAAAAATAAAGAGAAAGAGAACAGATTGTGATGGTTTAAAGTCACTATGAACTATTTAGGTTAATGTTACGGTACTGGTTGTGTAATATGAGAGATCCTTTTAGATAAATAGTGTAAATAATATAGGAAGTTCATTTGGTACAATTTAAGGAATAAAGAGGTACCCTTTTTATGTATTTTATTTCTAAGTAAAAATTTGATTTTTATAATTTAGACGAGATGGCAGTTTGCTGTGGTCGGGTTCTTCAATAAAAACAGATGGAAAACCAGATCTTGGAGTACCTAAGCCAATCTATGACTTAGCGAAACCGCCGTATATTCTATAATAATTATTCTAATAAAAACTATTCTTGCTAATAAACTGTTATTCGTGTATTAATGAGTTCTTAAAAGTAAGAAAAATGTAAATTATACTTTTGCATATCAAAAAAAAAAAAACTGTCTGGATATAATCTAGATGAGTATAAGAGAACATTGTCTATTATAATTGCAATAATTGAAAATGCAAGTTTTGGGTGACTTTTGTTAGGAATTCCGGCAGGTATTTGTTTAAACACTAAGCCCAATCCAATTGCAGCGTACAAATTTTGTATTGTACGGCCGTTTTGATCGTCTTCGGTCCATTAATCAAACACTATTGGGCCAAGTTTCCGTTTGTGTGCTCACGGGATAATACAGATATTGTTATTATTATTATTATTATTATTATTATTATCGTTATCAGCAACACTGCGCTATCCACGACGAGGCCCGAGAATTTATGCGAGAAATCCGCAGATGACTGTAGCGAAACTCGACGATTTTTGTATGTACAAACCGAGGTTGTGTTCTCACAGAGTCGTAATTATAACCACCGCCGCTTTGATTGCGTTTTATCACAACAGTCTAATCGTTTTCATAACACAATACAGTCCAAAAACAACTTGGATAATATATCGTTGTCAACAATAACTCTGCCGTCGGTCGCCGCCATTATTATGCGAATAATCGCCGGCCAAAGTTTGAAAATGAATACGCCTATGTATTGTGCCGATATTGCTTATTCTACTTACACTTGTAAAAAGTTCGTAAAACATAATATATAATACCCATTACAACACAACAGTTTGGCTTCTATGCGATGCGGAAAGCGAGAACCAAACACTTGTGCCTGGCATTTGTGAAAATGTCGATTTTCCCAAACTGAGTTGCTGCTTTTTTGTTTTAATCTCGATTGTCTTTTCGCCAATTCGAGACGCTTACAACTAAACAAAGGTATTGCACTTAATTTCGGCTATTGTTCGATTAGGTTCCATGTTCTGATATTTATCTTATTATATAAGATATATCTTATGTAGATTAGACCAGTGAGATCACGACTACCATTTAAATTTCAAAAGTGATAGAGTTATGAAAAATACTTAAACAGGTAAATATTTACTAATTTTGTAATATTGTAAAAATACATAAACAAATATTTGTTTAAAAAGAAAAACTGTGTAAAATTGCAATTACTTTAAGAGGTAGGTATAGACAGAGTGTCTTACGCTGAACACTTTAAAACGGTTGATGACTTGCATCCCTCTTACAACTCTCAGCGTCCAGATTTCAAACGCAATCTTTAATCGAATAAAGTGATGATTTATAAATAATGATTGAATGATTTTCATGATTGTGTTGCAAATAATGCTATGGTAAAGTTCCACTTAGAAGTTAGATTTTTAGAGTAAAAATAAATACAAATATTATATAGTGACACGGTGTAGTTAAGTTGAATCATGACATCGTGATAAAACTATTGTAATGATAATAATGTGCTTGAATTGTATTTTTAGTATTAAGGTGGATAAGATCTAGTCGTCTGTCCATAATAATTAATTGTTGCCGTTGTTTCTCAATTTTTTGTAATTTGACAACATGATAAAACTATTTTTGAGATACTGTTGGATTCCCTTCATATTCCCTTCAACAACCTAGAAAATTACTACTGACAAAGTGTATCCTTTTCAATAATAAAAAAAAAGATTTGACAAATAAATTATTCAAGTTGAAAAATATGCAAAGTTTTTGTGCGTTTTTCTCGATTTTAAAGGTGAACAGATGAACTTTTTTACATTTTCGGTCCAATAAATACTTTTCAGTTTTCATGCATGATTTCTGGTCTAGGTGTAGGCTCGAAAAAAAATACCTTCTCAACTCCGCATCGAAGCTAATAATATTCCTTTTTTCATTTGTTTATTTATATTGGAAAATATAAATTCATTTTTTGTATATCACATTTATACTTCGCCCCTCCCCCTAGCTATATGTAATAATATTACACGCCGTTAATGTATGATTATATTTTCGCTCTTGACGTCCCTAATCTCACTTGCACAGACAAAAGGGATCTTTTATTACTTTCATATTATATCACCATCTATCAACAGCTTTATGTGGGAATCCACAAAGGTACTTGGCCCACATTGGAGCATTGAGTTTATCTAGGGGTTTCGTTTACTTGCGGACTTTATTTAGAACAAAATGATATAAGATTAATACGTTTTAACATGAACGTAATATGAACTTTAGTTAAGTATCTAAAATAAAAAAAAGTCGTGCAATAATAATAACAGTAAATAGTGTCTAAATAATATTACACAACGAACATAAAATAAGGAGTTCTAAATTTTTATACTTCTAGATTGCTTTGTGTGAGTGAATCAACAGTATCGCAAATATATTAATTATATTGTTAGTCAAGATATTTTACGGGTAACAACGGTACTAAATAATCATACGCGCTACGTCAACCCTAAAACTAAAATTGCAATTTTAAACATATAATCAATTGTACCATCTTTTCTTGATTTTTCCCCTTCTATTCTTCCAACTCTATCTTCATCTATCGTTAACAATCTTTTCTCACAATACATCCTTACCAACTTTCCTCGTTTCTGCTTAATTTTTACTGATGGCTCTGTCTCTTCATCAAAGTCAGGATGTGCATTTTATATCCCAAGTCTTAGCATTTCTTACTCCTCCGTCTTACACCCTTTTTCCACTTCCTTCTCTGCTGAATGTGCTGCCATTTTGCATGCTCTGCATTACATTGTCTCCTCTCATGATACTTCTTTCCTTATTTGTTCAGACTCACAGGCGAGTCTTCTGGCTATTACTTCTAGTCCTTTCAGTTCCCACATTTCCCCTATTGTTTTTTCGATCAAATCCCTCCTTTTTCAAATTCTCTCTTCAGGTAAAGATGTTCATTTTCATTGGGTCCCTGGTCATATAGGGATCAGTGGCAATGAAATGGCCGACACTTTAGCTAAATCCTCATCCTCTTTTCTATTTACCCCCCCTTTTCGTCTTATAAATTCTGATGCTTTTCATTCCTTTAAATCAATCCTCTCTAACGCCTGGCTTGACAAGTGGTCTTCCCTCCCTCCTAATTTTGCACATTGGCATCGGTTTATAATTCCTTCACCCCGTAATCGTCCTTGGTTTCATAAACTAGACTTATCTCGCAGAATGATTTCCTCCTTCTCACGTCTCAGAGTCGGTCATAATCTTTTACCCTACTTTGCCTATAAACTTTCCCTTAATTCTGTTCCCTACTGTCATTTGCATGATGAGGTAGCTGTTGGAGATTTTTCTCATTTTATATTCGACTGTCCTTCTCTTGTTCCTAATAGAATCCTTCTCTTTAATTTTATTGCATCCCATGGCATTTCAAATCCTGATCCATATAACATTCTCAATTCTCGTTCAGTTCCTATTATTACTGCTACTATTTCTTTCCTTTTGAGCGCTGGTTGCACTATTTGAATCTCTTTATTTTATTTATTTTTTGTTTTTCTCGCCTCTGTTTCCTTGTTTTGTACATATTATTAATACTAGTTTTATATACTACAATTAATTAATGTTTATATTAATTTTCACTGCTTTGTAAATTATACCACAGATTGTATATTTTTAATCGTTGAGCCGTCATATTGCAAATAAAGGTTATAAATAAATAAAAAAAAAAAAAAAAATTGTACCATCTACCGATTTGCATCGATGCGTTTATTTGTAAGTGATTTTTATCACTTCAGCTATAATAATTTTACAGATCTACATCTGGGTCCTCCCCCGCACCAATATTGTTCAATCTCACTATGCTCCTATCCCATAGTACTAGCTTTTTTTTGTGCTTGTGTTCATGATAACTTTTTTTCCTATTGAAAGGTTCAGCGGTTAAGAAGATATTGTGGGTCCAGATACAAATTATAATAAATCATAAGTTGACAATATTCTTGAAACTGCCATACTATTCTAGGTACGTACTACATTGCTGTTTTTTTTCCACGATTTGTGCCTTCTTTTACTTTATAAAAAATGAATGGTGTATAATCACTCATAAAATATTTTGTGCGAACGATTTGCAGGCACGTGTACGACTACGATCGGATTGACAATATCTGCACTGTCTACTCAACATTCTATGTAAATAAATTCTTATATTAATATGTGTAAAACTAATAACCACAAATAACATGTTTAAACTCTGCGTAGAAATTCCGTACATCATTTAGTAAGCTGCACTATCAAACAAAAGTCGTAAGTATTATTTTAATAATGGTAAAATATTCAAATACTTTGAATAAAAGCATTTTTAGAAATGTTATTAAAATATTTAAAAATTGTATTAATATAAATTTATACTCGACGGATGTTAACAATTTTTTTTTCGTGGTATGTATGTAATTTAAATAACAGCTTACACACTTTTAAAAAAAAAGTTTTATAACTTTAGACAAAGAATTCGTTTGAATATATCTAATAAAAAAATTAAGATTTTTACGTTTTAATTAAGAACATTTACGAAGAGATTCGTATAGACATACATTTTAGTATTTATTGAATAACATTTTTTTATTTGCGTTAAAAAAGGGTTTTTGTTTGCAATGAATTGTAAATACTGGCTACATAATTAAGTATTTAATTAAATAGTTAAAAAAAACTTCTCAGAAATTCTCAATTTTATATAGTTTTTTACTTTGAAAAATTTTCTGGTACAGTTTAATTTTATTTAACAAACATAATAAATACATCTATACTAAACTAAGGATCGCAAGTAAATGAATATACCTAAAAATTTAACATTTTTGAAGTTAGAGTATTATCACTGATTTTGAACTAAAAAGTATTTATAAATGGTAAAAGTTTTCATGCTAACATTTTTAATAGTTTACATTGAACATTAAAATTGTAATGTGTTACAATTATAATCGTATTTAATAAAGTTTAACGCATCCTTAAGGTGCAGGTTCAACATTTGGCATCCATTTGATAGAGATGTAAACTATCCCATCTTCGTTAATGACATTCTG